TCAATTTTTTTCCTAAAAGAAGAATGCACAATTCGACCAGGATTGATGCTCGTTCCTATGCAGCATCCCTCAATAGAATAGTAGATAGGATTCTACTAAGATTTTATTAAATTTTAGTCAAGATCTATTCTGGATGTTGGCTACGAAAATCCAGTGATGATTTGTCATTACATCAGAGAAGGATTTTAACAAGAATAAAACAAGATTAGTCAAAATTCTAAGCTAAAAATCCTGCCAAGTTTTAATCAGAATTCCAATCCACATTTTTCAGGAACAAGGGTTTTTGGATCTTTGCAAGATAATATCAACCATTACCAAAGTCTTCATGGAAAAATACAAAAATCTATTATAGACCTTTGCAAGTTTCTTTAGACTATATTCAGAATTTGTTTTTCCAGATCCTATCAAGATCTATAATTAATCCTGCTCAGACTCATGACAAAGATGGATGTAAGGGTTTCATCAGGATTTTATAAGAAAGAAAAAAATTTAGTTCTTATCATCGTACTTATTGTTGCAATTATTGATGACATTAATCTCAATAAAAAGGGTGTAAATTATTTTGTAAAACAATACTTACCGTGTCATTGTTCATCAAGTTGATCTAGATGAGAATAATAAAATATGTGTCTTAAAATAATATACTTGGTGCCGAAGTTATTCTGGACTCAAACAATTTCTCTAGTAAAATAAGACGAATAATACGAGGGATGGAAAAACGAACGGTCATATCTGTTTTCTTACTCATTGAAAGTAATTAGACAATAATAATATCTAGCCCCAAGTTTCTATCAGATGACATGCCACAGAAACACTGAAAATATCTTTTTAGGGCGAAATCATTAAAATTTGACTTTTCTTGCTTTCAGAAATAAAGAATTTACGAATAACTTTTATGTAGATCATTCTTACGTCGTTCTTTTTGAAATATCACGATTACTTGCCAAAATTGTACGATTTTGATGATATGGGTAGTGACAAGCAAAGTTGTTTTTTTTTATTGATGATTTAATAATCAAGAAAGCTATATTCGTACCTTGACAAAATCGTTCATTAGTCTTTGTTTTCCACTATTGATGAAAGTGACTACATGCAAGTTGTCTATGATGTTCGGCAAACAGAGACATCTATGCTAAAAAGACATCCATTCTTCAAAAGTGACTCTTTCAATCCAACAAATACCAATTCAACCCAAGCTCAAACAATAGAATTGACATATTTTCTCTGCTTACACGTCAGATTTTGTATCTCTTATATAGACGACTAATCTTATCCGTCGTTTGAAAGAAATTACTTCATGAGATTGTAGTACATAATCGTTAATTATTTTGTGTGAATCAACTTAAATCATGGTGGATAATGAAAAACGTGAAAATCTGGCGAATGCTCGTCGAAAAGTTTGTTCTTATTCTCGATTCTTTTTTCAATCAATAATTTTACTTTTTAGTTAAAAAAATTTCGTGATCAATACCAACCAAATGACAGTGAAACTAATGGTAATGATGTTCATTCTATCAATGGAGTAAACTCTTTTTTTCTTAACTAATTCCTTTCTCATCTCTCTTTTTTCTTTTTAGACATCGATCGATTCTACTATTAGTTACAATATTATGTCAGTTGATTTCAATTTCTAAATATCTATATCACTCTTTCCTACGTTAGGCCGCCAACTGTAACTGATTTTGTTAATGATCAGCAAGCTATACCTGATGGAATTCGTCAGAATTCATTGAAATCACCTGCTATTGAATTAGAAGTAATAGAAATTAAACAAACTAATATTAATACCTTAGCATAAAATGACTGATAAAATGTACATATTTGAGGAACAAAATCATCAATATGGTTCGTTGACTGAAAACCAAAACCAACAACGATCTCGTTTTGAAGGTCAGCGACAATCAAGTGGTACAAGTAGTATGGTAATTATTACTCTATGAAAAAAAATAAAACAAGAAATAACTAATTTTTCTAGTCTGGTCATTCGAGTCAAACTTCAGTTGATGTTGAAGAAAAACTGCGTCGTGATATAAAACAGATGCAAGAACAGCTTGAAGTAAATATTTACAAATCATTGTTTTTTTTTCGTTTGAATAAGAATATATGTTAGATTCATGTACAAACCATTGGAATCTTAGTAGCAGAAAAAACTGATGTATCAGCTAAGTTAAATCAATCATTTAAGCAACTTGAACGTAAACAAAGCGAAATGGATGAATTATATGGACGTTTAAAAGCATCACGTGAACGTGTACAAGAACTTGAAAAACAAATACAATATTCAACATCAAATGTACAAAAACGAGAAATGGTCTTCTGATTTCATTGTCTTTAAATTTTCTTTTTCGACTTCTCATTTTTCTTTAGGCAGCTAAGGAATCTGATAAAGAAAATGATCGATTAAAAATCGAAAATATTCGACAAAGGTTTAATCGTCATATAATTATAATTACACCAATATAAATTTATTATTTTAGTCAATTAATTGAAGATTTAAAACAAAATATCAGTGAACTTAATGAAAAAATTCATAATCGACAAATTATTAGTGATCAGTTGAATAATGAACTAGAACAATTAAATAAACAATTTCAAGTTAGTCATTAGTTTTCAAAAGAAATTATTTTCTTTTTTTTATTATTATTAGTCAACTAACGACAAATCAATGATAGAACAAGAAATCAATGAATTACAACAAACAATTGAGCTTAAAAATAATCAAATAGACGAAGTAAGGAAAAGACATTTAGAAAGTTATCTATAATCATCTTTAATGAATTTTCTTATTAGGTAAACTTCTTGTTAATTGAAATATATCACTATATGCAGAGAGAAAAATCGAATGACAAATAATTTTATCTCCAAAAATGTTTCTTTCACTATTCAAAGTGATCTATGTTTATGAAACAATTTTGTTTTCTTTTTCATATTTTACTTAATGGTTTAAAAGTAACAAAGAAAATTATCATAATCTTGATGAACTTCATTATTTTACAGAGAAAATTACAATAAGATTTCCCATTACTTTTATTTATTCATTTTTTGTTTTCGAGAATAATCTCTAAAAAGAGAAACAGACAGCATTGAATCTATTTCATTCAAGAAAATCTTTTATTAATTAAAAGACATCATTTCAAGTGTGTCATCATCCTATTAGACCAATAATATAGAATAGAAAAATATATCATTACGAACTTAAAAAATTATTAAAAATATTCTTCGAAGCAGAGAATCAATCGCAACATATTGAACTTTTTGTATTACGAATTATTTAAAGCAAAAATTATCAGAACATTAAACTTTTCTTTCATCGAATAATATCTAAAAACGATTCAAATTGAACGCTATGAGATGTAAAAAGCATGCAGTTTCTTTGAGACTGTTTTGATTGTTTAGTCAAACGTCTTCTTCTTGAAACAGACATTATGAAAACGATAAGTCTTTCTAAATAATTAAAAAGTATGTTAGTGACACGTTTATTGAATAATAGCATTCAGACGTATTTATACGTAGCCGAAAGTCAAAAGGTTATGATTTTAAAATCAATAAGCACATTATAAACGTCAAACAATGACTTTTTAAAATAATATCAGTTGTTTTTCTTGAAAATAATCGAGCATTCATCTAATTTAATAGTATTGCTTGAAATTAGGCATGCACTGAACTTGAACTTCAGCTCGGTGTTCCGAGTAAACTGTTTGCGCTCGAGTGCGGTAAGAAAAGCTAGCTATCTTGCTTCTAAAATTTCTTGCAACATACTACTAACTATTATGTCTGTAAACAACACATTCAAGAGAAAATGTTACGATGGATTGTATCTTTGATCGATCGAGATAGTCACAATATACAGAAGAGTAGATCATTTGACAGATGTAAGATAAAAGATTTTACCTGTATTTCAAAACTTTATAATAGACAGTGCGAAACAAAATAAGAAAACAACTATTGATGCCAGTCTATCATGTCCATATTAGAATGAACTTCAACCTTGAACTTTCGGACTTGGTGAATGCCCTAATTAAAACAGTATCTCGATCATTATACTGATTCAGATTAGACAAATGCGGAATAGCGAACAAAGATTATAGTTATGTCATATCAATCAAGACAAAATTTATAAGAGAAAATAAATAATATTTAAGATTTTCAAATAATTTTCTTCATATTTGAACGACGTAAAGGAGATTTATTCTATTGAATATCGTAAAGATCGATTTCTTAAACTTGAAATTCTTTTTCTTTTTTCATTTTTGAATTGATATCTCTTTGTAGAAATTTTTCTAAAATAAACTTTTCTTTTAAAAAGCTATTTTCATCCATCAGTCGACTAAGTTCTGAAAATGAACAATATCAACAATACAATATAAATATGCAAAATCACATTCAAGAATTGAATGAACAAGTATTATACATTCATCTCGAATTTCTATGAAATGCTTTACTCTCTCTGTAATTCAGATTAATCAATTAATTGAAAAAAATAATATTTTACAAAATGAACATGATATGATGAAAAAGACTTATGAAATGAAACTATCTGATCATAGTTTAATACTTGATCATGATAGTCTTCAACAAGAAAATGATTTATTTCGAAATGCTATTGATCAATGGTCAAATCGATATGAAGAATTAAAAGCCAAATTAGAACAAATGACTAAGTATTTATTCTTGATCTTTATTAATCAAACTCACATTTCTTATTGTGTTAGATTATTAACTGAAAAAGACGCACTTATTGTTGAACTTAAAACAAATGTTAAGAACTCAAAAAATCAATCTGACAAAAATCAATTAATTGAACTTGATGAGCGATTTATTAATATGGTAATTAATCTTAAAACTAGATTCATAAAAGAAACAAGATTTTTTTTATTTGTAGTCTAATGAAAATATTAACTTAAAAACTCAAATTGAAACAGTTGAATATTTAAATAAACAATTAAATGAACGTCTTGAACAAATTCAATCAAAATCAAATCATGAACAAGAAACTCAAACTCAAGACCAACAATCGAATATATCATTATCATTTGATTCAAATGATCATAATCAATCACAACAACAACTTTTTGTAATTAACCTATAGCACCGGCGTCTTGCCAAAAAATATTTACTCATTTTTCGATCACTATAAGACAAACGGTTAGAATTAGTTAAAATTAGAATTTTTTGCTATTTCCAAATATATGTTCAGGTTTTCCTTCTGGTCTAATATTGAACAAATATTAGTAAATTTTGTGAAAAAGCTCAAAATTGCGTTTGTATCAAGTGTAAACAGTGGTTTTGACACTGTTCGTCCTTACAGAACAGCTTCACCCAAACATCATTGTAGAGTATCAAATTCTTTACATATTAAGATATTACAATACGTGAAATATCATATTCAAAATCTATGCGTTTTAACTAAACAGTTAGTTTATATGAAAATCGAGATTGCTAATCAAAATCGCTGTTTAAAAAGCTATTTTTAAGAAAACATAAGTTCTAAAGTCTATGATGAAAGATAAATTAAGCAAATAAATTTGATATTTTGTAGAGCAAAGTTTTTGTTCTGCAAAACTGAGCCATTGAGAAGGCTGTTTTGTGTTTTGAATTTGGTAAATTTCAATCAAAATATAATATTGATCAAAATAGTATTTTGTACAAGCACTATCTTGGACCTTTTAAAACAATCTGATGATAGTTCATCGATTTTGTCTAAGGAGGAAATTCTGAATACATATTCAGAAAAATCGAAAAAGTTTGATTCTTATTAATCGCTTCTGATCCTCACCAACTGTTTTCAAGTGATCGAAAAATGAGTAAACATTTTGTGCCAAGTGTTTTACGTCATAGATTATTATTTCTCTTTTTTTAAAGGAACATTTAAATGAATCAATACGTGAAAATACTGATTTAAAAGATCGTATAAAACATCTTGAACACGTTATTCTTCAATTACAAAGTGAAACTGAAACAATTGGTACTAATCAAATATCTTATTGAAATATTTTCATAAATTATTTTCGATTTCAACATAGGTGATTATATTCATTTATATCAACAACAACGGGAACAACTTCAAAAACGTTATCAAGAAAAAGATATTTATATTAAACAATTAACACAAGATCAATATAATTTACAAGTAGAGTTACAATTTCATTTTTTGTTTAATTAAGAGAAAAAAAACAAAGGATTTCTTTTTTCTTTTTAATTTAGAAAAAATTATCAGAATTAGAAATATTACTTGTCCAAATTTTAAATATACCAATTAGGCACGATGATATTAATTTATCTACTCAATCAGAATTAAATGCAAATATCAATCGTAAGTTATACGAAGTCAACATATATAAAAATCGAATGATAGAAAATTGATATATCTTTGTCTCGTTTCATTTAAATGAGCTAATTTTTTAGTTAGTGATATAAATCTGTTTCAAGTTTTATTATTTATAGCAGTAATGTAGATACATACTACTATTAAATGCTATCTTTGATCTCACTTAGGAAATTTTGGTGTATTGTCATTGAAGACAATAGAAAAAAAGAACTCAAAACAAACTTTTTGAATAGATATTACAGTGATAGAGATAAATTAAATTTTCACGAATGGTTAATTTAAATGTGGACGATTGCAAGGTTTCGAATTTTCAAGCATGAAACACTAGTTTTTACAAGGAACTTGGCGGTTGCTCAAAATCAATACTTTAAATTCTGTGCTGTAGTTATCGAACACGATTTTCAAAATTTAAACTAGCCGGTTGTGAAAATTTACTCCATTTACATCAATGTAATATCATTTATAAAGTTTCTTTTAATTTCTTTCTTTCATTATCCTACGTGAAAACTGAGAACTACTTCAATAGGTCAAAGTTTCTTAAATGAGATCAACAATAGTACTTAATTCGTATGAAAAACAGCTTTGAATCAACTTGTATCACTTATCAAAAAAATTAGCTTATTTTAATGAAACAAAACAGAGATATATCACTATGTGATTGTAGTTCTATTTATGACCTTTCCTGTACGTAATGGGCTTGGAATGCAACGAAGTAGTCGACGACATTTCAACTTATAATCGCACTATGTTACTTTGATATAGACTCACATTTAATACAAATAGGCTCTAACGTTTCAAAAATAGACAAATATTCGATTAGCATTATTTTTTACTTGTTTGACGAAAATTCAGATTATGAGAGATCGAAAAGAATCAAACCTTTTACATTTCAATTTGATTCGATGAGGATATCAAAAATATCTGCTGCTCATGTTTATTAGACTATTCTTCAACTAGCAACTTTCTTTGAAGGAACGAAGAGACTATAATAATTACTTTAGGTCAATAAATATTTTTGTGTACTCAAAAAGTGAGTACACTACTAAAATCGGTCTGTGTGTCCGTCCGGCCGTCCGGCCGTTTACACGATAACTTTCGAAAGGAGAGTCAGATTGCGATGAAATTTTCTACACAGTTTAGTCTTGACAATATCTCGGTCGAGTTCGAAGATGAGAAGGATCCGCCAAGAAATGGCTNGTGTTTGTGGGGGGGGGGGGGGGGGGGGGGGGGGTGGGGGGGCGGCATCCGCTCGCAAAATATACACATGTTTCGTTTTTTGTCCTTCGATGTCTCCATAGGCGTAGATTTTTATTACATTCTACGTTTCATGTTGCATGAAAATTTAGCGAAGAAATAGTTAAGAAAACATGACTAATGCAAGCCTGTTCGTTTAAATTAGGTCGAAAAAAAAACTACTGAGAAAGCCAGAGAATTGTATTACAATAAAAGAACAGAAAAAAATAACTTGGCTAACGCTTAAGCGTCGATTATGATTTATTAATGAAACAAAGAAAAAGAAACAAACCACATATATTGTAGGAGCAACCATATTTAAATAGATATGATATCATGTTGATAATCTTTTCAAGTCTTATTTAAATTACTTTTTATATATTTTAGATCATAATCTCACATGTTCTACAAATATCATAATGACATCATCGAAACAACATAGTATGCGACTACCACGATTCAAATGTTGGCATCCATTATTACCAACGTTTTCAGCTCGGTTAATAATTGCCTTTCGTACTCTTCTAGGAATTGCTGTAAGTAAATAATGAAAAAGTAAGTCATAGATGAAAAGCTTTTTATTTTAATTCTTAAACATAGTGTGTTGCCGGAATTACTCTTTCACCAATAACATCTAATTTCATACAAGGTCAACTTCTACTCGGTGTTAGTTTTATAGTTGCAATAAAAAGTACAGTTGGTGCAACAGTTCAAACAGCTATTCGTTTATTTCTTGCTGGTGCTATTTCTGCTATATATTGTCTTTTCATTATTAATTATTGTCCACGTAATATTTATTATGGTGTTGCTGCAACAAATGTTCTTGTTCTTCTTATTGTTTATACTGATTTACCAATAATTGTTCGTCGTTTTTCAATTGTACCAACATGTATTATACTTTTACAATGGTTTGGTAAACCAGATATAAATAATTTTTTTGTACTTCAAATTTGGGCATCATTAACAATTGGTGCTATATTAGCTGTTATTGTAACATGTATTCCATTACCAGCTATACCAACTGCTTATCGTGAATTAACAATGCGTATGAGATTTATTGTTCGACAAACGCGACGTGAAATAACAGCTATTGTTTTACTTATATCGGAATATCATAATATACATTTAAGCGATGAACATGATTATCAAACTAAACGAAATAACCAAAAAAAAAATACTTCTGATGATAATGATGATGGTACTGAAATACCAGCAAATTCTTATCGTGAAGATGATATTTATTATTATTCATCGTCACTCGAAGATTTGAAAGATGATCATTTACTTATAAGTGATATACAAGATTTACATTCATTAGTTAATGAGGAATTGAAAAAAATGCAACGTGCTTTAACTGAAATTCCATATGAACCATATTTTATATTATTGAAATTGCTTAATCTAATAAGAAAATTCTTACGACATATTCCATTTATTAAAAAATTCATCAGAACAAAATCAACATTACAAACACGATTATCAATATGGGCAACAAGTTTTGCTTCTATACAACGAACAATAACTGGATTACTAACATTAGATCATCATCATCGTGCATTTGTTGGTCAACGACAACTAATTAATGTAAGTTTCTTTTTATAAAGAAGTAAGGATGAAAGTGATTGAGCATTGTTTTTTTGTACTAATACATGATAAATTAATATTCTTTTGCTTAATAAAGTTTGCCTCAAAATGTATTTATGCATATAAAACTTATCAGTATTGAAAATTTAAGTCTAAGAAAAAAAAATATTAATAAGTAGTAGACTTTTCAATATGAATTCGACTTTTTTTCTTCAGGCAATATGTCTTCTTCTTGATTCAACATTTAATTTCTTGGATTCGACACATCCATATACAACATCATCAACGAGTTACTTTAATACAGTACAAATAATTGCTTGTCGGACAAAAGTTGAAGAAGCACTTGAAGATTTTTTTGAAACATATACACAAGTACGTGAAAATCCAAGTCATTCTTCTATATCAAATACGGATGCAGTTCGTTTAAATACATTTCTTCTACTTATTTTACGTCTTGTTCATGCAACTATAACTGCTGCTGAAACAAGTCAAACTCCCGGTGCTCATCTTGATACTGGTCCAAGTCCAACAGCAAATATACCGAAATCAAAAAAACCATTTAACTGGAAAAAACGGTTTTATAATCTTGCTGTTTATATTGGCATAAGACCATCATTTGGTAAATTAGTACGCTCAATAAAAACAAGTTTAAGTGTACTTGTGTCTGCTATTTTTGTCTTCTCATTACGTGAACGTTTACAAGCAGATGATTGGATTTATTGGGCACCGATGACAACAGCACTTGTTTCCGATTCATCTGAAGGTGGTACACTTCGTCTATCATTTCAACGTTTAATGGCCGTCTTACTTGGTTCAACTTACGCATATATTATTGTACTTGTCACACAAAATCATCTTGCTGTTGGAATATGTATTTCTTTATTTGTTGGATTAATGGGATATGTTAAAACAGATCTAAGCAAAGAATATTTTGCTAGTGTCTGTGCACAATCAGCATCAATAATAACGTTTCTTTCTAATCAACAAGGACAAATGAATGCATCAAATAAAGCTGTTTTAGCTCGAACAAGTTTAACATTTTTAGGAATATTTATACATGTTTTTATTTCTAATCTTTTTCTACCAATAACAGCTCGTTCATTAATTAAAAAAAAGGTAATCATCCTTTTATTTTTATTTATAAAAAAATGAATTTTTTATTGATCATATTTAGGTATCAGTTATGATTAAAAATATATCTGCGGCATTAAAATCGTCAAGTAATGATTTTTGTGCATTCATTGGTCCATCAGGAACACATAAAAAAAATATATCACCAAATAAAACACCATCTAATTTAATGAAGATTCTAGGAGAAACCGAATGTATTGCAGATAGTTTCCCCGCTTTACTTGAAGAGGCATTAAATGAACCAAGTTTTTGGAAACGACCATTTATACATGTGAAAGATCGTTATAATGATATAGCCAAATCTTTACGTCGAATAAGTGTTGACATTCGTTTTGTTCATCGATGTACAACAATACTTGAAGCTGAATCAAAATTACATTTTGCACAAGAAGCAAAGTAATTTTAAAATTTTTCTTAATACATTTAGGGCATAATGAGAGTGATGGCGGAGGTATTTTTATTCCTTATATAAAACTTAAAAAAACTTTCTCTCTATATGATCTGATAATAAAAACAATGTTCTACATATCTCTGATACTTGATATTCTTCAATTAATATTATAATAATAAAATTTCGATAGGACTTGTTTGTTGTGATATGGAACGGTAATATTTTTAAAAATTTTTGCCTTTGATTGCCCTATGACCCTGACGGTCCTAAAGGGACAGTTGAGCTAGAAAACGAGTATGCCAGCGAAGCTACGCCTTGCAATGAGCTGAACTGTGGTGAATGCTCATGCAAACGACATGAAATTTGAATTTTATATACGAGAAAAAGAAAATATAAAAGAGAAGAGAGAAAAAAGCAAAAAAAAAGATAGAAAAGTAACATAGCAGTAAGAAGAAGAGGTGTATGTGAAGGGAAAAGGAACAAAAAGAAGACAAGAAAGAGAAAAAAAAGAAAAGGAAAGACAAAAGAAGCGAGAAGTAGGGCGCACTGTCAAGTCATGATACTTTAGCAATAAGAGCAAGCAACCCAGACGAAGAATTGAAACTCCTAATTTACAAGCCTCTCCCACCACCGTTTAATAAGGTATATTCACGTGGATGGCTACCGTTACTCGACACGAGTCGGTTTATTTAATTTTAAAATGGTATCATTGAAAGTGCTCATCATTGAATTGAATCTATCAACTTGATCTTTCCATTGCTGTTCAGCTCGCATTGTTTCATCGTCAACAGTTGTTCTATTGTTATAGTTACGCTTTTCCACTTGTTCATTAATAGACCTTGCTCCTGTCGTATTAATACCATCAATTTCACGAATAAATTGTCTAAATCGAGGTAGAACATACTTTTTATACAGTTTTATTAAAATAATCACGAGCATAACACCAGTAATTAATAGCAACAGAAATTCACACCACGATCTATGTAGGCAAGGAGCTCCATAAACATGGTTTTCGATTTCCTTTGTTTTTTCGACAACTTCTTTGACGTGGCTGGAGTTAGCGAAACTATTAATAATAAATTCGAATTTATTTTCGAAGTTCTTTAACTGATTATTATGATTTACCAACGTGTTGATCAAGCCTTGATTTTTATTTTTATTTCGCTGTCGATCTTCATTTCCTTTTTCTTGTGCTTCCAGTGCTGATATTAAGATCTTGTTCAGTCACGAACAATTTATTTGTGTATCCGAAATGTTGTCGGCTGTACTTAGAAAAACGAACAACACAATATTAACAAGGAGTATATGATAGAACAGTGCCATTGCGACTAATATAGCAAGCAGACACAGTACGTATATGGGCGGGAATATTAGATCGCATCTTCTTCATCGTCTCTTTTTCTTTCTCGTCTCCTCTAATGCATAGCCGTCTATACATATTATAGTATACATAAAGCGGTGAAGGTAGAACAAAAAGGAAATAAAGAAACAAGTTCATCAAATTTTAACTGAAGTAATTCTCCGGATCTGACACAATGTGATTTGTGCTTATTCAAGTTAATCAAACAAACTTTAAGCCATCAAAATGATTCCAAATTGTTGCATCGTGTTGTAAACAAGTTCAGGAATCCCTTGAATAAAGAAAAGTATAAAAACGTTCGATAAATGGATTCAACGAATACAATTGAGTGTGAATAACTAGGACGATTATTTCAAAAATTTAATGAATAAAGGTTTATTGAACTTGTTTCTATTTTTCTTTTTTGTTCTACCGAAAGCATTTTTTGTATACCATAATATGTATAGACGGCTAGGCATTTTAAGAAACGATCAAGAAGATGCGATCTAATATTACCGTCCCATATCATAACAAACAAGTCTTATCGAAATTTTATTATTATAATATTAATTTAAGAATGATCAAATATCAGAGAAATGTAGAACATTGTTTTTCCTATCAGACATAGAGAGCGAGATAGGTTTATTTAAGCTTTTTATATAGATCTGCAATACATCCACCACTACTTTCGGTATGCCCTGAGCAAAGTTTTAAATTGCTTTTAGATGGCAAACGCGTCGATCTAGTTATGTTCATATAAATAATGGTATTGATTCAAATCCATCTCATTCTTGGACTTTAACAGACATCCGTAAAGAACGAGAATTACAAAATGATCTTGATATACCTTTAACCATTTTTATGACCTATTCTACACATTCAACACCAAGATTTGGACAAAAAACTCTTATATCAAATAATTCATCAGCTTCACTTCGTTTAACTCATATAACATTATATCAACCTGTACTTGAACATATTTTTATGCTTGAAAATCATATTCAAAAAGTTTTATCTTTAACAGAACAATTAATTGAAACACAAGCAGCTGTTGATGTTGGTTCATTTGAATTACAACAATTATGTCGTGAAGATTCATATGATGAACAACAAATGAAACTTTTAAAAACTCAAAGAACATTAATTCGTGATCCATCTTGTTATGCTGTACCACAATTTGAAGCATTGCCAATAGTTACAAAACATTATAATTTTTTTTCTTGTTGTAATAATTCACAAGAAGATCATGAACCATTACCATCATTACGTAATGCTGTTGATTTAATGTTTGCATCATTAATACAATTTCTTTATGCTAACAATCGTTTTATTCGTACAGAATTTGTATCAAATCAATCGATTGGTGATGTTTTAGCATTTCATACGTTATCATATGCATTAAGAGATATGGTTGAAGCAACAACAGATTTAGCGAAAAATGCTCGACGTATTAAACATATTGATACGCGAGCATTAATACGAACAGAACAAGAATACAAATTTCCATAACAATAGATACTCATGAAAATCAAAGAATTGTTCATAGTAACTATTCTCTTGAATACTTTTTTCTTTTCAAATCAGAAGTTTGTTCTATTCATTTATTTTACTTAAATTGAATATCATATTCTAGTCTAACTCTTTTTTTTTCTCATGTAGGGTGTGTGTATGTGTGGGTATCGGTGTGTGCGTGTGAGTGCGGATGGTGAGGGTGTGGGTCTATTTCCTAACGTATACGATCACATTCACACCCGGACCCTCCACAAAATAAAAATTCTGTTTCGTTTTCTGTAAAATTCATACTTAGAATGATAAAAAATTAAAATTAATTTTTAAAAATTACAGATCTCATTGAGAAATATATGCATAATAACTGTTGTACCATTATAGTTATTTCCAATATTTATAAAGCCTTTGCCATTATAAAAATGATTAGTGTTTTTTCTGCATTGCCGTATTACTCTTAAAGTTATGAAATACAAAAAAAAATCTTTCTTCTGTTATTCATTACATGATGTCGCCTAGGAAATAACCAATGTAATAGGTTTTCCTTATACATGCATCCCTTTTATGGCAAAACAAATATAAAGAAAGAGAAAAATAATGTGCCATACTTTTACATCACATATACGATCATGAATAATAATAAAATAAATCCAACTTCACTCGAATATTTACCCATTCAAATCTTTCTACAAATGTTTGCTTCACTTCCACTCCACGAAATCGTTACAACTTTCCCTGGTCTTAATTTCCTTCATTGATTCAATTATTCATTCGCTGAGAGGTACAAGTTGCGTGATCCGGCATAAGGACACACAAACTTTTAATCTTTTTTCATTTATTTGCTACTCAAATCAATCGTCTGGTTATCGTAAATGTCGCAGCGATTGACTTCACATAGTTAATCAACCTGCGTTCACACATAATAAAATATGGTAGTTATGCACAATTCGATAACATTCGTCCGCAACATTCATTGAAGAAGGATACCTCATGTCGCCTATTTTTCATCAAAACCGACGGTTCAAGCGGTTTAATCATTTTTTTATCAATTCTCGTTTGATTGTTCTATGAAATAGATATTATCCAAGGGGGAACAAGCTGATTGGGATCAAATAAATCATTGCAAATCATTGACAATCAATGACAATCATCGAATACTAAGTGTTTTCTTTTGACAGCAACAAAAATGCTCGTCATGTAGTCATCAAGACGGAATGAATTATGTTACTTCAATAGATAACATTCAAATAATATAACTGTAAGAGAATAATGATGATCGGNAGAGAATTTCAAGAACTACAAAATGATATATAAAACATAAAGAAACAAGAACGTTGACTAACCTATCACAAAGATAATTAAAGAGAACTAGGTTATATTTTGGTCCACGATCTAATTGATCCACAAATAGAGCTTTATCTTCCGGTCACACTGATGATACTTCGAGGTTTTCAGATATGGAGAACTCGAATGTGTACTGCACTTCCATCGAAATACTATTATTTGTGCAGTGACCAATAGAAATTAAGTTATAGGAAAAACGACTTTCTTAGAGTAAATCAAGGTGCAGAGTTCAAGCTTGAGTTGTATTCGGTCCCATGTCCTATTGGGTTGGCGACGCGCAATATAAATCAACATTTTAAATGGTAGATTTCACAGTATAATTTTGATATTCAGGCAGTCTAGGATGATTGATTTTTATGATTCACTTTTTGAAGTACACATAACTCTCGGATTTAAATCCGAAGTTTCCGCATTTATTTGACTCTGTTACTGAATAGCGATTAGAAAAGAATTGAAATTACTACAATTGGGATTGTATGTCACAGAACTATAACAACTTTGAATATTATGTAATTTAAACCGAAAATGAAACTAGCACTAATAAATGATATATTCGATTCGAGACATCCATCGAACATCTATCTCTATGGATTCTAATTGTGATTTATAAGAGATATGCAATTTAAATCTCTTTTGGAATATGACGATAGAAAAGGTCATATGCTTGAATATTTTTCGAAAACGTGGAACCGATGCAGATTTCAGATCGTTCAATATTATTTAGAACATATTAACGAAAAGATCTCCATTTATAATAAAGAATTACTTCAAAACAAATAATTTATTGAAAAATAGTCAATTGAATAATTGCTTAGAGTTGAAATGCAAAAATTCAACCAATTTTACGAACACCTTTTCAGCTGCATTGAGTACAACATTGAAAAGTTCGATGTCATTCGAGTTTTAGTTGCTCCTACCATGATAATTGATAGAACATTCTTTAATTTATCAGATGTTTTGTGTGAATATATGTTCTATGAAAACCTTTTTTTTTTTAGAACAATTAGAAACGATCGATAATGCACCATCATCAATCATTAACCAAACATTGTCGTTAAATAGCAATAAAACTACTGATTCGACACTATTAACACAAATAAGTGATGAAACAAAAGCGCGTATTTTTGCATTAATTAAAGAATTAGGACAGAATAATATATCACCTATGCAAAACGATAATTTATCAACAATTAAGTTGGCATTTGTTGATACAAATCTTTACATATGTTCAACATGTTCAGGTCCTGTGCAGTCGGTGTAAAGTTCATTTTTCTCATTTGTTTTTTAATTCTAAAATAAACATATTTATAATTATTCTTATTTTTCGCTTCTTCTTTATTTTAGTTCTTATATTAATATATAGTACCATAGTATAAAAAAGAAAAATTTTTCTTCTATTTATTATCTTTATTTATTGTTTTTTTTTGTTCATTTTTAAAAGTTGATTATTGTTTTTTTCTCTCTTGTTAAGTATTCGTAAAATTTAGGGAAAAAAAAGATCTACATAAATGATGATCAATATGATTTGTGTATTTATATGATTTTTTTAAATTGGCCATTAAAGTGATTTTCGTTTTTCTTTTAAGTTATGTAGACCAATTCAATAGACAATGTCATCAATTTTGGTAGACAATATCATCTTGTTGAATTGAATCGAAGATAAATATTGATTATGCTTATTGGAATTGTCAATTGGAGGTAAAATATAAAGATTTGCATAGTAGATATAACCCATTAGTTTCATGACATTCACAAGATGATAAAACGTCATATAAAATTAGTAGGCAATAGTGTTCAGTCAAGTGATATATATATATATATATAAGAACTATTGCGTTCTATATTGATCAAGCAAAAATCATTTCTCCAGGGAAAATACTTCTAATTTTTAACAGTGAATATTGAAATGAACCATTATAGATTAGATCAGCACTGCTATTTGAATGTGTATACAACTTCAACATCTAATTATTTACATGCATGGATAGTTAGGCAATAAAGAGTAATAAGTTTTTCTTTTTTGAGATGTTTTCAAAGAGAATATAAGAACCTTATTATTATTCTATTGCTCACAGAAATATATTGAAAAGATATTGATAAAAAATGGAAGTTGATCTTGCATGAAACAAATTTGAGTCTGTAGTTGAATATTGAGCTGCAATCAGTAATGATAATGGTTATTTAAAGCATCAACTTGTGTTATATTATTTTCTCTAAACAATAAGCAAAAATCTACATATACATGAAGAGAAAAAAAAAGCAACCGGTTGATGAAACACACTGAGAGAAATAGAAATACATAATTATCAGTACCAAAGAAAAAATGTTTTAATTGATATTATTAAATTTGTTAATGTGAACGTCTAAAGAAATAGAATAAAAAAGAGAATAAATGAATATGGAACATTCAATTTCCTTTCTATTACCTATTCTGATAAAGAAAAAACAATAGAAAAAGTTGGAAAGACATAGATAAAACAAAAGAATCATCATTAACAAATGTATCTTTTGTATTTATTCAAATAACGCATGAATGTTCTCACATCAGGATGTACTTTTCATTAATAAACTCTACAGATAAAAATATCAATATTTATATAATTTAGTTATTCATCTCAACTTACATCTTCTATTTCTGTTTCATAATCAACAAATGTTGAGTTTGATGTTAATGAAACAAGAGATCGAACAGTTGCTGTTAAATCTGATATAGTTGTTGTTTTTGATGTACTATAACCTGTCCAAAAAAATCCATAAAATGTTGCTAAAGCAATAGCTAATAATGATATAGATATTAAATAACTAAAAACCAGTAATAAACGTAAAAGTTTTTTTCGCATTAAACTATTATGTTCTTGTCTTAATGGAAGCAGTGATAGTTGAAAGTCATTTGCTGATGAATCATTTTTTGCAATACTCATCCAAAGACTTTGTCGTCGTGTTGCTATGGCTGTTGTTTGTAAACTTTTTCGACGTGGTAATAAATTACTAAGAAGAACTGTTGACGAACGTCGTTTTGGTGACATTGGTGTTGGTTTTATTATACCATCAGGAGATGGTGGCAATGATGGAACTGTTCCAGAACTTGTTCGTATTGATGAATATGGTATACGACCAAAAACTAATGATTCATCAATTGATTTTATTGACTTTAATCTTGTTGAAGGTGGACATGTTTTTGAATTGCTACTGTTATATGCTTGAAAACCTCGAGATTGTGATGAATTATCCATGATTTATACAGATTTTAATTTAGAATGAAGTCTTCTAAAAGTATGTTGATCAAAAATAGATCCATCAAACATTGAAGTACTTTTTATTCATCTAGAACACTTTATACTATCGAATTAATCATAATACCTCTCTATATGAGAAAAAGAACGAAGAAAATGAATTGTTAAAAAGACTTCTTTTTAACTATTAAGTGGCTTCGTGGAAATAGCAGATAACAATTAAGTTTCATTGTTCGCAAAGAAAAAAGCTTTTAATAAGTTCGTTATGCTTATTATATACAACGATGCTGAGATAAGAATGAAGGAAAAAATGCTATGAGACAAGATTGGAATTTTGATCAGAAAATAGAAAAGAAAGAGACAATGAACGACGAACAATGGAGAAAACGAAGAAGCAGAAAAAGAAGAAAAAGAGGAATATCTGCTTCGCATAATTGAGAAAAAAAAATGAGACCCAATCTGCATAGACACAACACATATTGTCAAGTGTTCCAATTATTTCTTACGCATATAGCAATTATTGTTGACATTCTCTTGGTGCTTCTATTGAACTACATCTTTGCATGTGTTATGGATCTATCCAATGTGACATCCTTGTTTATGATGTTGGATACCACAAAACTCTCTGTCATCTTGTTTTTTCTAATAAACAAATAATCGGTGTTGTTTCTCCTCACCATCATTCTAATGCTCTTCGTCGTGTCTCATGTTTATTATGCGCGTATAACTAAATATTTCTTAGCAAGTTGGATGTCTTTTCTACATAGAGATATTCATAAAAAAGAAAGAATATTATTCTTAAGGCTAACTATAAGGTCTAATAATTGAAAAAGAAATCTTGTGTAAGCATATATAAGGACATTATGTCTTACCAAAATAAAGTAATTAAACTAAAGATAACAAAGATAATATTGTCAAAAGGTTTTAGCATTATTTTTAATTAATGATGAATAAAAATATTCGTGACTTATTATATGAATAGATGAGACATGAATGTCAAAAAAAAAAATCTATCATATTTTTTCTTGTATTTGACTGTGTGCGTTTTCTTTTAAAACATCAAAAAGGAAGTGACAGTTTAAAAAACAACAACAAAAAAGAAAGAAACGTCAAAAAACGATGAGCAGTTGATAATTATTTTCTACTCTTGACTGTATGTAACACAAAGTAATCCTTCTTTTTTTTCTTTTTCCATCTCTCTCTCGCTCTCCTGTCTTTTTACATGTCTTATTTTCAATTAGACAAAAGAACATCGACTTTCCTTTAGTTTCTTTCCATCTCATATTGCCCATAAGTGTATCTCCATGGTGAGATAGAACTACGGAATACGATATTTTTTTTTTGCTATTGTCATTGCATATATTAATTTGATAGATAAGTTGTAATTGCTTAGAAATCCAGAAAGTGTTTAGTATGAAGATATAAGCCTTTGGGTTTTAGTTAATCTTATTGGAGATTTAACTTAATCAAATTGCTTTCTTCGTAATAGTGGAGACTGTTGATAGAAAAATCATTATAATTAATAGATACTGTGATTAACTAAAATGGTAAACGGTATTGTTGTGACATCAATATAGAATACGAACACAAATTGATAATCTATTTTTATTCTTCAATAAATCGTATTATTAATTAACGAAAAAACTAAAAAAAAAAAACAAACTTATATATATATATATTTATATAAACATAAAAGCATAAAATTAAATTTTTATAAGACTAAAAAAGGTGAATAAGTGCTAATAGATCGTTTCTGTTATTCAATATATAGATTTAACTTCCTAAAGAAAAAAACAAAAAATGAATATGGGAATATATGCGATAAAGACATCTATGTCATTAATCTATTGCTTGATAAACGTTAAATGAGAGATGACAATAAAATGAATTTGTCATGTCATGTGTGTATTCGTCAACACAGATGGTTAAGAAAATCGTCTCGTATTAAGTTCGAATTTATTGTCCTTATATGATTTGTTTTTGTTTATCCTCCATAGAAATTGTCATCGTCAGATATAAATTTGACATCTGAAAAACATATGTTGTGATTTTGTATTGATATTCAATAGCTATATATGAATTATTCTTGAGACAATAACTAAACCAATATCATTCATGAGAAAGTGAACAGAGTTTATCAATTCAATCAACTAGTGTCATTTATATGAATTTTTATTTATTAATGTATTTGCAATGTGTTTCTAATACACTAATGTATGATTGATTGAAGGTTTTTCATGTAAGAAAAATCTTCAATAGTCTCTGCCTGTTACATATCTATCAAATAGCCATTTTCTTAATACAATTGATACGGTGTGTTAAATATGACTTTTTCCGTATATTTTAGAATATCAAAAATCTATGAACGTTTACATGATTTTGGTACTGACAAAGTAATTATTAAATTGATCGGTTGTTTTTATAACTTGAATTCTTTTATAATATTATTCTTCTAGATCAAAGCACAAATCAGTCGTATTTTTCATACTTTAGATTTCATTAAAACAAAATCAAAATTTTTCTGATGGTTGAAATATGCATCAATCTCTTGCATAAACTCGTTTTCTTAGTCCACATTTATAGTAACTCGGTAAAGCATTTATCTTTTTTTTTTATTTTCTAAATTTTTATGTATTTAGATAAGGTAATTATGATCATATATGTTCAAATAAGATAAAAATTAGAAAGACCTCAACTGAAAAAATATCTATATGGACAAGAAAAAGTTATTAAAAGAAACAAGTTTTATTGTACTTGGTTGGATTGTTAATTGAGTGCCACAAGCTGAAGGTTGATTGAAAATAAACGGAGTGAATTAGACTTTATCTGATCCAGGAAAAATTTCACTATCTTTTTTAATGGTTCAACAAATTGCTTTTTGATATTCCAATACAACATTAATTGAATCAATTTTAAAACTAGATTCTTTATTTTCTTTTATTTTAATAAACACACTGAATTTTGTACGAACTTGGATTTTGTTATTAATCTCGTCATGACTTCAACTAATTGATATATCAATAATTACTTATCACTAGACAAATATGACATCATACACATTTTATATCTGGCTCCTTATAGTCAACATTTAGTAGAACAGTTAGATTTTGACTTATCATCACTTGGATTATATGATAAAACATTTTTCGGAACGCACCTGAAGATGAAAATATACGAAGAATAATTGTTCGATTTGATTTAATAAATAGACAGCAGATATACACAATCGAGAAGTAATTTTCATCTGACAGAACAATTTATAAATCTAAACATTGTTTTAATGATATAACTAATCTTCTTGTTTTCAGAGAGAATAATACAAGAACAATTTCATTATATTTCAAGTTTCGGGAGAATATTTAAAACAAAAAAAAAAAAAAGTGATGAGATTTTCTTCGAACAAAAGACTAGTTTTTATTTCTTCTCAGCAAACGTTTGGTGTAGTTCTTCTTGGAATGTATTTCAAAAGAAAGAACATTATAGAGAATAAATACGTAAATAAAAGAACATGAACAACAATAAAATATAAAATTTATTACTTCAGATTATGTAAGAATTATTAGTTCCAGAAAGAATATGAAAACAGTCCATGTGCTTTTATATATTCCAAACCTAATCGGTAGAAGGCAATTTCTAGTTGATTAAACAAATTATTTGTTATTATCTTAGGTTATTTTCGTATATGTCTTCTTGTTCTTGCTTGGTATTATATTGACAAGCCATTTATTTTCTTACCATTATATACAGCTCAAGCTCTACTTGATGGTTAGTAGATAGTTTATTATTATTGTTTTAAATTTTGACTTAATAACAGCTGTTGATGGCTGGAGTGCTCGACAATTCAATCAAGTATCGAAATTTGGTTCTTGGTTAGATGTTATCATTGATAATATTGGACGAGGAATTATATGGACAAGAGTCTCATCGGTAATAGAAAATAATAGAATAATGTAATGAATAAAATCTTTTCATGCTTAGATCGGAATTTTTATTTCATCTATTGAATGGATTACATTTTTAGCATTAAACAATTGTGGATCTGATTGGAAATCAAAATTATCGTCTAATAACGATCTGATAGTTCGAAATGTTATGAAAAATGGTAAATATTTTTTTATTATTACTATTATTGAATTTTTAATATCTATTTTTATATGAAGGTTTTAAAACACCATTTGGATTCTTAACAATTGTCCTTGGAATTCATGGCTTGCCGATCGTCATCTATACTATGAAATATCAAGTTTTATTCGATGCATTTTCCTTTATATTATATAGTATTAGAATAATATGTATCATTGGACGTCTATTCTCATTGTATTGTGAGGTGAGATATTGGTTACATATAAAAATGAAACCCTTTATTTGTTATGCTTTTTATTTTTGTTCATTTAGATTTACGTTATCGGTCTCTTTATCACTGAAGATTTACTCAAGTAAGTTCCCATTTACACGATGTGGAAAAAAAAACTTTTTTCTCATGAACAAAAGTAAATATAAGAATAAATTTGTTCAGCGATTAAAATTGTATTTTCTTTGTTTTTTTTTGTTATAAATAAATAAACATTTGGAATTTTAAAAAAGAAAAGTAAAATAATAAATGATATAAAATAGATTTGCGTTCATAATCAAGCAGTAGAAATAGAGCAGATTGATGCATACACAATAGACAAATAATAGAATAGTTTTTATGCTAATGTAAAAGTGAGATTGAGTATCACATATGACGTGTATTTCCAAAGACGATACCAGATTGCGTCGCTCCTTTGTTATAACCATATTGAGTACTGATTACTGTATTACCTTGCATTAATGTTTCCGGTGAGAACGTTCGTTCATTTTTTTCACTTTCTTTTGGGCCTAAGCCACGTACACCTTGTTTTTGAGCCTAAATAAAACAAAGTTTATTTTTTATACGAAAAAAAAAACATAATTTAAATAATTTACTTTTCGACCAAGAGCGAAAAGACAAAGTATAACTTGATGAAGATTCATTTTTTCATATAGATCAACCGTTTGAAATGTTTCTGAATCAGATAATCCATAAGCTTTAGCAGCTTGAGTAAAACGTGCTATATTTTCCATTAATTTAAAATTATTTTCACCTAAATTAATTTAAATAAAATAAAAATTATTAAAAATTATTTGAATTATTTACCACTATTAATTTTTGGAATAGAATTCGGTACAATAGCATTCATTAATCTAGCAAAAAAAAAGAAAATTAAAATCTTTAAAAAAAAAGGGAAATACTGGATTGTGAATCCTACACTCCTTTCAAGATAATATTTTTTCGTACGTAACAACTGAATATATGCTGCGAGACACAACAAAGCATCAGTTTTAAATATTACGTGAACATTTTTTTTTTCTTGACTCTCTCTCTAACGAGCGGAAGATTCACAACCCAGCAAATAAATCCATACTGGCAAAGTTTGCGTCCATCTCTTAATTGTTTATAAACATTATCCATATCTCCACTAGTATCGAATTGTTCACTGATCATTTCACTAATCCATTGTAAACTTTCTTGAGCTTGTGCTACATCATATTTTGATTGAATCTATTAATTAAAACAAAAATCAAGATTTTCTATCAAATAACTAAATTGATTCTAATTCATTTTTTTTCTACCTTTTCCATTACATTATTACCTAAGTCAATTTTTAAAGCACCTGTAATAATATTCGTTCTTTATTTCTCCAATGCATTTTACATATTAAATCAAGGCATATAGTCTACCTGTCTTTAAATGCTTCTGTCAAAATTTATCATAACCACATATGAAGAAACGGATAGCAAAAGAGATCATCGTGTTAACATGTTAAATATATTTTAGTATACATATGAACAGAAAAAAAGATGTTTTTATAATGACTTCTACTAAGTAGTAAATAATGAATAAGCAAATGAGAGAGAAAATATTCAGTGTCAGTATTTTCTGTTTTGTATTTATTTATTGCATAGACGTGATTGATATTATTTTTCTATATGTTAGTTAAATTTTTTATAATCTAAATAAAACCTATGGTACCGTTTACGAAGTACTTTTTAATTCGATAATGCATTAAACAAAAAGAAAACAAAGAAAGAATGTATAAGTTCATCATTGTTGACATATTGTACTACTTACTTTATCAAAAGCTTGTTTAGCAAAACCATGTTTTTCAGGTCGCTCAGCCATTATTCTTGTGTTTTCGTTTTATCAATGATTATTTAGGGTGAATATTTGAATAGAAATCAAAACGAAATCCTGATAAAAACAAAAAAAAAAAAATATGACATGCAACTGAATATTATTATTATATAATAAAATGAGAGAAATAGAAAAAAAACACTCCATCTAGACATTGTCAATAAAAAACATAAACTTTGTTGCTTTTCTTTTTTTTATGTGGGCATATGCTCACATATATACACGTTTCGTGTTTTGTCCTTTGATTTCTCCATCTGCGTAAATTTTTATTGCATTCTACGCTACATATTACATGACATTTTGCAAAGGAACAATTAATCGAGATAACGTGATTAATACAAAACCTGTTCGTTTGAATTAGGATGAAGAAAAAAGATTATTTAGGAAATTGGAGAATCATATTACAATAAAAGAACAAAAAACAATATCACTTGGCTGATGCTTAAGCGTCAGTTTTGATTTATTCATGAAAATAAAGTCAGAGAAAGAAAAAAGAGAGAAATAAAACAAATAAAAGAAATAAATCATAATATTGTGCCAGCAATCATGTTTACCAAAAATATACCTTATACTGATGACCTTCTTAAGTGTTATTTAAAATACATTTTATATATTTTAGATCATTATCTCACATGTTCCTATAATATCATGACAACACCATCTAAGCAACATTCTATACGACTACTACGATGCAGATGTTGGCATCCATTATTACCAGCATTTTCAGCTCGGCTAATGATTGCTTTCCGTATTCTTCTAGGAATTGCTGTAAGTAAATAATGAACACGTACGTTATAGATAAAACATTATTTTGTTTTAATATTTATAAACATAGTGTGTTGCTACATTTACTCTTTCACCAGTAACATCTAATTTAATGCAAGGTCAACTTCTACTTGGTGTTAGTTTTATAGTTGCAATAAAAAGTACAGTTGGTGCCACAATTCAAACAGCTATTCGTTTATTTCTTGCTGGTGCTATTTCTGCTACGTATTGTCTTTTAATTGTTAATTATTGTCCACGTAATGTTTATTATGGTGTTGGTGCAACCAATGTTCTTGTTCTTCTTATTGTTTATACTGATTTACCAATAACTGTTCGTCGTTTTTCAATAGTACCAACATGTATTATACTTTTACAATGGTTTGGTAAACCACATATAAATACTTTTTTTGTATTTCAAATTTGGACATCGTTAACAATTGGTGCTACATTAGCTGTTATTGTAGCATGTATTCCATTACCAGCTATACCAACTGCTCATCGTGAATTAACAATGCGCATGAGATTTATTGCTCGACAAACACGACATGAAATAACATCCATTGTTTTACTTATTTCGGAATATCATAATATACATTTAAGGGATGAATATAATTATCAAAATAAACAAAAATCGATTACTTCTGATGATCATGATGATGGTATTGAAATGCCAGCTAATTCTTATCGTGAAGATGATATTTGTCATTATTCAACATCACTCGAAGATTTAAAAGATGATCATTTACTTAAAAGTGATATACAAGATTTACATTCATTAGTTAATGATGAATTAAAACAAATGCAACGTGCTTTAACTGAAATTCCATATGAACCATATTTTATATTAGTAAAATTACTGAATCTAATACGAAGATTCTTACGACATATTCCATTTATAAAAAAATTCATCAAAACAGAATCAACATTAAAAACACGCTTATCAATATGGGCAACAGGTTTTGCTTCTATACAACGAGCAATTACTGGATTGTTAACATTAGATCATCATCATCGTGCATTTGTTGGTCAACGCCAACTGATTAATGTAGGTTTGTTTTAAAAAGAAATCAGAATAGAAATAGTTGACCTTTTTTTTTTCTCAAATACTATATGATAAATCAATATCCTATTGCTTGATAAAGTTTGATTGAGAATTTATTTGTACATATAATACTACTTAGTATGTTAAAATTCAAATCTAAGAACAAAAGAAAACTGTTAATATATAACAGCTTTTTCAATGTAAATTTGAATTTTTTGTTTTTTATCAGGCAATATGTCTTCTTCTTGATTCAACGTTTAATTTGTTGGATTCGACACTTCCATATACAACATCATCAACAAACTATTTTAATAAAGCACAAATAATTACTTGTCGAGCAAAAGTTGAAGAAGCACTTGAAGATTTTTTTGAAACATATACAAAAGTACGTGGAAATTCACGTCATTCTACAATGTCAAATACGGATGCAATTCGTTTAAATACATTTCTTCTCCTTATTTTACGTCTTGTTCATGCAACTATAACTGCTGCTGAAACAAGTAAAACTCCTGGTGCCTGTCTTCATAATGATTCAGATCCAACAACAAATATACCAAAACCGAAGACGACGTTTAACTGGAAAAAACCATTTCATGATCTTGCTGCTTATATTGGCATAAGACCATCATTTGGTAAATTAGTACGTTCAATAAAAACAAGTTTAAGTGTACTTCTATCGGCTATTATTGTTTTCTCATTTCGTGAACGTTTACAAGCAGATGGTTGGGTTTATTGGGCACCAATGACGACAGCACTTGTTTCTGATTCATCTGAAGGTGGTACACTTCGTCTATCATTTCAACGTTTAATGGCTGTTTTACTTGGTTCAACATACGCATATGTTGTTGTACTTGTCACACAAAATCATCTTGCTGTTGGAATATGTATTTGTTTATTTGTTGGACTAATGGGATATCTTAAAACAGATTCAAAAAAAGAGTATTTTGCTAATGTCTGTGCACAATCAGCATCAATAATAACGTTTCTTTCTAATCAACAAGGACAAATGAATGCATCGAATAAAGCTGTTTTAGCTCGAACAAGTTTAACTTTTTTGGGAATATTTATACATGTTTTTATTTCAAATATTTTTCTACCAATAACAGCTCGTGCATTGATTAAGAAAAAAGTAATCATTATTTTATTTTATTTAAAATAAAAAAAGGAAATTTTTCATTGATTATATTTAGGTATCAGTTATGATTAAAAATATATCGACTGCATTAAAATCATCAAGTGATGATTTTTGTGCATTTATTGGTTCATCCCTAACATATCAACAAAATATGTCCCCAAATAAAACATCATTTAATTTAATGAAAACTCTAGAAGAAACTGAACGTATTGCAGATAATTTTCCTGATTTACTTGAAGAAGCATTGAACGAACCAAATTTTTGGAAACGACCATTTATGCAAGTAAAAGATCGTTATAATGATATAGCTAAATCTTTACGTCGAATAAGTGCTGATATTCGTTTTGTTCATCGATGTACAACAATACTTGAAGCTGAATCAAAATTGCATTTTGCTCAAGAATCAAAGTAATTTCAAAATTTTTCTCAATTTACTTACCTAGGACATATAAGTTGTGCCAATGCTATTTTAATTTCTTATAAAAACTTTTAAGAAAGTTTCTCTCAATACAATCTAACAGTAAACAAAGTTCTTTACATTTCCCTCATATTTGACCTTTCTTCGACTAGCATTACAATAATTAAACTTCAATAAAAACTTTTTTTTAATGATATATGCCCATAATATTAGATTGCACATTGTCTATGATATATATCCTCTGCTCGATGTTCTCTTTCTTTTCATCTTTTTTTAATACTAAACCCATTTATACAAGTCTAGTGTATACAAAAACGTGGTGTAGGTAAAACAAAAAAAAATAAATACAAAACAAGTTTATCAAGCTTTAACTTAAGTAATTCTCCGAATCCAACACTATGAATTTTGATCATTTGACTTAATCAAACAAAATTGAAGCGATCAAAACGATTCGAAATCGTTGCACCATAATGTAAGTAAGTTCATGAAGTCTTCGAATGAAGAAAAGTATTAAAAAAAAACATTTGATAAATGAATTCAACGAATGCTATTCTATTTCGAACATTTGATGAAATATATCCTGAATAAACTTGTTTCGTATTTCTTTTTTTTTTTTGTGTTCTATTAACACCACTTTTTGTATATCCTAACATGTACCAAAGGCTGGATATTAGAACAAGCGTGAAAAGAAACCAGAGAGAAGAAAAGCAAAGAGAGCATCAAGAAAAGGATATACATTGAAGATAAAATCTAATCTAATATTACCTTCACGTATTATATCAAACAATTGTTAAAAACATTTTATTATTATTGATATTAATTGATAGAGACAAAATTTATTTGATCTTTTTATAAATAATTAAAATATCAATCGTTTTTAGATGGCAAATGCGTCGAGCAAGTATTGCTCAGATGAATAATGGTATTGATTCGAAACCATCTTATTCTTTGACAGTGACAGATTTACGTAAACAACAACAATTACAAAATGATCTTGATATACCTCTAACAATTTTTATGACCTATTCTCCAGATTCAACACCAAGATTTGTACAAAAAACTCTTATATCAAATAATTCATCAGCATCACTTCGTTTAGCACATACAACATTATATCAACATGTACTTGAACATATACATACACTTGAAAGTCATATTCAAAAAGTTTTATCTTTATCAGAACAATTAATTGAAAAACAAGCAGTTGTTGATGTTGGCTCATTTGAATTACAACAAATATATCGTGAAGATTCATATGATGAACAACAAATAAAACTTTTAAAAACCCAAAGAACATTAAATCGTGGTCCATCTGTTTATGCTGTACCACAATTCGAAGCATTACCAAAAGTTACAAATCAATATAAATTTTTTTCTTGTTGTAATCATTCACAAGAAGATCATAAACCACTACCATCATTACGTAATGCTGTTGATTTAATGTTTGAATCATTAATACAATTTCTTTATGCTAATAATCGTTTTATTCGTACAGAATTTGTATCAAATCAATCGATTGGTGATCTATTAGCATTTCATACATTATCATATGCATTTAAAGATATGGTTGAAGCAACAACAGATCTAGCAAAAAATGCCCGACGTATTAAACATATTGATACGCGAACATTAACACGAGAAGAAAAAATCTTGCAATAATAGACAGTCTGATTAAAACTAAAGAATTTTTCATAATAATTATTCTCTTAAATTTTCCTTTCTTATCAAGTCAGAAATTTGTTCTATTCAGTTATTTTATTTTATTTGAATGTTATTTTCTAGTCTGACTATTTTTTTTTCTCATGTAGATCATTTATGTGCATTGAATTTATTTTTTACTTAATCCAGCATAATAATCTCGTATAAAATTTCATATTCTCTTTTCTTGTTGTTCAATATAGTAAAATAAATATATCTTAATAACACTTATCTTTTCTTTTTTTGAAATTAAAGAGAAAAACTAAAGAATTGTTTAGAAAATTCGAAATTTTTCTATTAATTAAGATTATTTATATTCATCAAAAACGTACATTTATGTAGTTAATGTAGTACTGAAAAACTTGAATCACGAAATGTTTAAGATACAGGTCTCAAAAATTGTCATATTGTAAAAGTTAAGCCGATGGTTAAACAATTGCAGCAACCAAAATTTGTTAATTTATTTATTGTCATTCACTGAATGCAGTGGCGATCCAATATGTAAATAAGAAATAAAAGGTAGTCATGATAAGAAAAAGCTTTTTTTTTACATCTATCTGAGGCAGTATAAATTTCGTTTTTTATTTGTTTCTGTTGAAGAAAATCTTAAACATTTTTCCAAAGGAAGAGCCAATGTCTCCAACATTTAAATTTACTTTTGATTGAATATCACCAAGAAGTTTCCAATCTGAGCTATTGCATCTTAAAAAGCGCGAGAAACATCAAAAATTCGTTTTTTTTCTAGCCGCAACTATCGTCTCGGATGAGAAAAAAAACAAGCAATTGTGAAACTGAAATTGAAATCAACATACATGTATTTTCTATTCATATTATGGACAGATATTAGAACTATCGTGGTGAAAAAGTGTTTCACTAATATGGTTTATACAACGTTCACTCTTGAGTCTTATCGATTACGATACTTAAAATTTATACACTGATGAGTAATAAAAATCTTGAATACGATTCATTACACAGAGCTTCCTGTTGTCAAAAATAAATCATCTTTGAATACTAATCAGCCGATGACAACCGTTCATAATATGAGAGCTTACAGTTAGTAAAGAATGCGCTACATATTAAAAGATATCGACCAAAGATTAACTGTGGAAAATCAGAGTTCCATATAATAACATAGATGTTCTCAAACTAATCCAAGTTTATCATGCATATATCAAGAGAGAGTAAGAACTGTATAAATTACAAAATACTAAGAATCTGAACATAACATTGCATAGTAGTCAATTTAGTTAGTATCAATTGGAGAAATTTTTGAAAGTATTCTATATGTTTTATTAAGAAAATTATATTTGACACATTTGTAGATTCTTATTAAGACTTTGTATCATTTAATCAGGCGCATGTCGAGTTTTTTTATAAACTTTTATTGTGTAAACAGTAACAAACTTTCAGCTTTTTGATCTACACAGTTTAAGATACAGATTAGAAATCAAACTCTAGAACACAGACTTTATTTTATTTTATTTAGGCTTTTGAGTTAAAATTTTAAAATTTAGCTAAAAATACCATTTCAAAAGATAAAAACTGAAAGTTTATTCTTTTCCTTCAAAAAATTTCGAAAAAAGACTGACATATATTAGCCAGATCAATTGTAATTATTCCTAATAATTAACAAACAGTTTGAATAATCTTTGAACTAAAAGCAAGTTTATGGAAGCGAAAGCTACGAATGTTATTTAAAATTAGCAATTTATTTTTGATTTTCTATGAAAGGTAACTAATTTAAAATATTTTCTCTCAATTATAAGTAACTTCAATAAAGAAAAAAGAATTAATATGAAACTAAAATATAAATAAAAAACGTTTGTTTTTTTCCGGTCTTATATAAATGAAAGATTCAATTGATTGAAGATTAAAAAAGAATGATATTTCTCGTTTTTTGTTTTGTATTTTTATCACTGAATTATTCTTCATCATCTTTTTTTTTTTCAAAGTTCGCTTAGTATTATTTCTCTATCTGTGCAAATATATCGTTTGTTGATCAACCAATTCGACAAACATTAAATTTTATTGATAGTTATCGATCATTTTGTAAATTTCGTCAACAAGACAATGTCAATCTTATAATTTCAACATCTCATATTAGTAGTAGTCTAGTACTAAATGATCAATCTGATCGAGTATCAGGTGGTCGTCTTCATCAAACTGTGGTTTAATGATATTTGTTTTGATCGACAACGTTGTGCTTCTATAACAGTGAAAGACACATTTAATGATCGATTTGCTGAAAATGTTGCAAATGAATTAAGTAAACAACGTTATTTAAAACCATTTGTTATTTTTAATAAATGGCGTCGTAAAAAATTTGATTTTACTTAAGAAATTAATGAAGCAATTTTTAATCATCCTAAAGTGATATTAACTCATCAAAGTTATCATTCAAATATTGAACAAGCTATTAATTAAATTAATCAAAAATTTGGTAAAAGTCTTCTAATTAATATTCATAGTCATACACAAAGAAAGTGAAAGCAATATGATTAATTTATTTAATTAATATAATTTCATTTTAAAATTATACTATGGTTGAATATCTACTAATAGGTATTCAATTGAATCACTATGTGGTTAGAATCAATATGAATGCATTGGTGATCAATCGTGATTTAAAACAATGTTTGAACGTAATGGACTTGGTATTATTTTATTCATCATTATCAAATCCACATCCTTGAAATCATAAATTTTGTTCTCGTAGTTATATAACACGTTATTATATTTCAAGAATTAATGTTATTCAAACGGAATTACCACATGACATGCGAACGTCATCAAATTGAGTTAACAATACGAAGGAATATGCACAATCTATTATTGATTTTATGAAAGTAAATTATTTATGATTATCGATTTAAACTTATAAACTATTCATTGATACGATCTAAAAGACATTTTAATGTGACAGAAGGAAAACTTAATTCATGTTTCGTGATTTTACAGTATACAGACATATATATTTAAATATACAATAATTGAAACTTGAAATCTAAGTATTGTTAACTTAGAATGGCACTAAATTTTTATACGTATATCTATCTATATTTGGAAGAAATGTTGACAATTGAATAGAATGATTGTTGAATATTTCAAATTGACTTGAATACTTTAGTTAAAATTTAGTTATTATATTCTTGAATTCCCATTTATTTTTGTTTATCAATATATTTTCTTAATTGAACCGACTTTTGAAATCTGAACTTAAGTCTAATATCAAGGAATTAGCTTCATTTGAACTCTGGTACAAAATTCTTTCTCAATAATTTTAAATATATTTATTTTCGATAGATGTTTTTTCACTTTTTCTCTTTCATTGTGTTGAGATTATTTCTAAAAAAAAAAAAATTTCAAATAATTTTTTTCTTTTCTAATGAAAATGAAATGCATTTCTTGTGCTAAATATTTTATTAATTCATAATATATATGTTTTTAAATTTATGACATTCGTTTACGAATAAATCTTAAAGCAAAACGTTTACTAAATTCTCGTTTAAGTAATGCGCGTCGTTTATCATCATCATCATCGTCATCATCATTATCATCATCATCATCACTATCGTCAGAATCGTCATCATCCCGTTTCTTCTTTGAATCTTGACGTTTTCGTTTCATATTGATTTCCCGTTTTTTATCTTCGCACAATGTATCATTATTTTCTCGTTCTAATGCTGAAGCTTCATCATAATGGGCACAATAAGTACGTAAGATTAATCGATTCTTGATAGGATCACGTTGTCGTGCCGCAATATCCATGGCTTGTTCGCAAATATCTTCTCGCCATTGATCATCATCTGCATCAGAACTTGAGTCATCATCACGACGACGCAATTCGCGATATTCTTCTGGACATGAACGACGACGACCATTTGGTGAAGAACTTGATCGAGCATTGATGACAATGAGTATGGTCATCAAAAAAATAAATGTTGAAATAGAACTAGAATAAAAATTTGTCCAATATCTGTTTTTTTTTCTTTTGCTAAACAATTCAGTTACTTACTGCATTTTGTCTGTTTCTAACTGATGTGTCTGTCGTTGATCAAGAAAATGATTTCAATGTATCTCGCTTTAATCATAAAAGAAAATGAATAAGAAAACAGACAAAGAAGACAATATTAGTCTAACCACGCGAACAGAATAAGGGAAAAGATTGTTAAGTTGTGATTAAAATGACTAGAGAACTAACAATATATTCAAATTTTTTCTTTGGCTTCGTTTTCCTCTTGTCATTGTTTATTCTGTTTTACATAAAATGAACAATGCTAATCACTATTTCCTGTTTGATTAATTTTACATTATTAAAGCTTCGATCTAGGGATAAAAAAAGAATATTTTATGTACTGATAACTAATGACGCACATCCCCAATGCATCAATACAAGTTTAAAGTCTATAACTCATTGGCATTCACTTACAACAATATCTTCTCAGATAAACATGTCACTTTCGTATTCTATGCCTCGAAAAATAAATCCGGTATGGATTCCTGTTCTTTTCAAGACGGAACATATATATGCAGTTCCGTTTTTAGGATCATAGAACACATAGTAATCTACCAAACATTACATAAACATTTTGAAACGTTAAGAAATGCAGAAAAATCTATTGTGAAGTACATGTCAAAGTGGAATTAAGAAAAAGTAGCAATCACTTACATAGTAACTGAGTTACTTTTGTCGTTCTCTTATTATTATAGATTCTATTCATGAGAGAGAAAAATCAGCTTTTATGTACATATAAGAGATGAAGAAAAAGAAAGCAAAAGATCATGCCATGACAACATTATACTCGAACTACGTGTGCAGAGAATTTCATCAATCATACATGTCATCGTAATGACTCAGTGGTTGAGCAAGTGTGACTACTATTTTTTCAAAACCTAATATCTATTTCGTACTCTTCAATAAGCAGTTATAGTTTCACGCTAGATGCTTAATCCTATTAAATGTTGTATCGAATTGATGAACTCTACTATTTATTAGATATGTCAACATATTTTACCTTTCTCTTCTATAATTTCAGCACAGATATTACTTCAGGTGAATTAGATCCGGTCGAATATTCGTTGTTTCAACTATATTTAATCGTGTATGACACAATAAACACAGCCCTTATAAAATCAGTAAATGATAGCTCTTTTGTTGCCACAAAATACATAGAAATTATTTACATGATACCGTTTGTGAAACTATAATTGAGATATTTAATGTGATCGCATAATATTACACTAATATTACTACATGGTGAATTTCGCTTCTTTTTTTTTATTTATTGTCATATGAGTGTTTCAATTGCATATCTTCAAGGTAATGAAATGAATTCAATGGTCTATCACATAATGAATACGATGTGTTTTAAAGTGACGATAGAAATTGAGAAATCAATGTTCATATTATTCTTCTATGTAAAATTTAAGGGCAAAATTCATCAATACATTTTAATATGAATAATGTTGAAAATATAAAACTATTTTCTGTCAGAAAAGTTTTTAATAATTAGTATAATGTCTAATCGAACATTTTTTTTATTATTATTTGTTATATATCTCAACCTGAATGTTGGCTTGTTTGAGAAACTTAAATTGTCTAAAAACATATGAATCTATATTTTCAATGTAAAATTTCAACAAAAATCATCTATCGTATGTCGATGTAAGATTTAAAGAATGTCAAAAAATAGCTGTCTGCCGATTTTCTAATCATGTTATAAATTTCTTTTATATTAATCATCAATAATGAATTTAAATTATAGAAACAATCGTTAAACTAATAGTCAAAATTAGAACAAAGATTGTGTGAAGAATTGAATCGTCTTCTGACAATAAATTGATTAAATACATGATTATGACAAAAGCCAACTTCTTCTCTTGAAATCTATCAAAATAGGCAAAAATTAAAAGAATAGAAAGTTTTTCAACACTTTTAACTAACAAAAAGATAATTATTCTTTTTTTTTTAAGATGATAAAATCTACAGACTGAAATAATAGAAAGTAGACTTACATTGAATCCATAACTTCACAGTGAGAATCTTTTAAGATATTGTTAAAATTCATAATTTTTATATCACCTTCATCGTATCAGAAATATTTTCTCTTGGTTCAAAACAAACTTATAGTTGAAATCAGATTGGTTCTACAATAAAGTGCAAAAAGAATGCTGTTAGAGTTTTAAACATTTTAACTATTAGAAGTGATGAATATTGAAACTTTTTGACTGATAGAATTACACATGTACTATTATCTACAATTTAAGCTATTAATAAAAACTTCGCACTCTCTCTCTCTTTCCGAATCATCAAAGTCGAACAATCTGGCTTTCTTACTGTCAGTCAAACAACTTAGAGCTTATACACCGATTCTATGTCGTTGTTTTATTTAAGAAACACTTCCATGCATCAAGATTTGAGAGTTTTTCTTTCTAAAACGACTGATTCGAGCTCCAACTACGAAGTTTCAACTGATCTAAAGTCTGCGCTATTTAATGATTTCGCGGGAATGCTGATCAAAAATGACTTTGCTAGTCTTAATGCTTCACAGTGCTTGCTTATTTAATCTTGGCAATTTTATAAAAAATGCTACGGATAGAAATATTCCTCATATAGAAACTTTCGAGCGGCATTACAACAAATGTTACGGCAGTAGTAAAATATAACTGATCGATTTGCTGACAGATGATTAACATTTGAATGATGCGCTATTTTCATGGAATTCAACAATATTGCAGCAGCATGTCTTGGTCTCATTGGATGTGCAGAGATATATTTTAAATTTTGGAAATAGTTTAAAGACGATAACTCGAGAAAATTAGGACATAGATATTGACCAAATTGTTGTGTCAAAAGGCAATGTTTTTTGCGTTCTATTGTATAAAATAAGACCTTGAGTCTTTGAAATATTCTATTTATAATTTCATCGTAATCATTTCAATGATTCATATCTTTTACTTCTTCTTATGATGAGTATGTAATATTTCTTCTGTTTTCTTTTCTTTGAGATAAAATATTGAATTAATCTTTATCTATCTATAATCGAATATCAAAAAGAATATTATATATTCTTTTGTTTTAATAAGAAGCCTAAGATGTCAAGAAGAAATGTTATTGAAATATAAAAATAAATAAGTAACCTTAGAAATCTTTTAACTCATTTTGAACTTTTTCATAAAGATAAATATAATGTTCATTTTCCATTACTGTCTACCAGAACTTCCGTCGTACAATTAACGGAACAACAGATTGCAATGCAAATATAAAGAATTATTTCGTCTCTTTTTATGGCAATAGTTGACAAAAAAAATCTTATATTAAAGTATAATCAGAGATGAAACAAGTGTCTTATTTTCTTAGATAAACTTTTTACTTTGTTCAAGCAATGAATGAGCGACATTTGCGTCACAAAAAAAACTTTTCAATCTAATATTCTGTAATTAGATGATTATTGTATACCTGTAAATAGATACTTTTTAATATTATTCTTAACATTTTCTATCCTATCATTCATCAAATAGTAAAAAATATACAAAAGCAGTAAACACATTCTGTTTTTCTTTCTCATCCGTATTAGAATGAGCTTCTGGTGTTCTATTTTGTTCTCTTTATCTTAACTAATGTCTTTCTTTTTTTTTTTTGTGCTTTTACTGCTTGTTAATCAACTTCTATCAACTGTTGTTTTCTTCTATATATGCGTACTTATGTCTTTTACATATACATAATAATTGACAGCTTTTTAAACAAAAGAACATAGAATACATGAAATTGTTGTCACATTTCGTATTAATTCATCATATTTCTAAATCAAAGTTGCATTAGTAAACAAAAGCCATGAAGTTTACACTTCCATGACATCCATATGAATTCATTTTTGTTTATAGATATTTTATATGCTTTTGCAAGTGTATACAGGCAGACATCATTGAGTACACCTTACTTTTCTTGAGTTCTACTTGCAGTATGGTTGATAAATATTATGTCGTTTCACTTCTTGGTTTCGCCAATTTTATTGAAATAGTAAGTGTAGAAACAGTTGATTACTTTCTTGAATGTGTAAATGTAAATTTAATTTAATTCTAATCCATTTATTTGTAATAGATACTACTTGCTGGTGGTTTTATGTCTGTATCTATAGTATCTACTGGTTATATTCAAATTGTCGATTCATATTCGAATGTAATTAAATATAATATAACTCAAACAGTATGTTCAAAAATCAGAAAAGACTGAATAATATATATATATATGCATGTTAATCATATTTTAATCTTGTTTTTTCCAGAGTAATGCTGATTTTACATCATTCTATGATATCGATGCTGATACAATCAAACTAGTTGATCAAGCTATTCTAATGATTATATTTGGTTTAACGTTATTCTCATTTCTTGCTCATATTATATTTAAACTACGTTATCGATATTTATGGCATCGACTTTCACATGCGGTGAACTAGAAAATCATTTTCTCGTTTATTTAAAGGAAACTTTTCATTTCTAGATAGCTATTCTATGCATCATTTATGCATTCTTTCTATTTGGTGTGTCAGCTGTTGTTGCTGTAAGTAAAGAAAAAGGATATAGAAAAAAATTCATGAAAATAGATATTTCCTATGTTTTAGTGTTGGGAAGATAAATTAAGAAAACGTTTGACTAGTACATATTTAAACAATCAATATATAAATACACCGAATGGTTTAGTAAAAACACGAATAGGCTCAGCAGCAGCTGCAGCTGTAAAGTATTTATATCTTGCAAAAATTAAATCTATTTTTGAAATTATTTTTTAGGCATTTGGTTTTGCTGCATGTTGTATTTTCCTTGCTGAAGCTTTAATTCGATTTTGTCATTTAGCCGATAAAGTTCAAATATAAATTCAATTAATTAACATATTCCGTCCAATGATCAACTTGTTTATTCGATTATTAACAGATATTTTGTGATTTTTTTTTCTAATTTTATTATCTAAATGTAGTACATGTATTTAAAGTTTGAATAAAAATAAGTATCATTAATCAGATTGCATGCATGATAATCATTAGTCATCATCCTACTGCTATTTTTTTTTCTATTAAAAGAATAGTATGTTTTCACTAGTTATAATCTAATCTCAATTGGTCTGATACAATTATGTCAACATAAACTTATCTAGATCAATGGTATCTTTTATTCCTTTAAATAGAAGATTGTAACATCCAATAAATTGCGAACTGAACATAATTAGACAGACTGTAGTTAAAACTTAAAGCAAACAAACACCCACTAATATCTACTTATATCTGTGAACTATCTTATACATTTATTCTCATTCTTAGTTTATCTTATGTATTACTCAAAATGGCCAACATCGAATAATACCTACTAACACTTTAATGGTGACAGCAATTGAAAAATATTCGAAAAATACTCAAATAGCTAAACTATGAAAAAGAATAGATCTATAAGATAATTCATAAGTGTTAGTCAATGGTAGCGAGCATAAGTTTCCTATCGATTCATATATATTCGTTCGTCTAATTATGCGAAGTCTGTAACTTATAGTATATTTGTATAGTCATGGCATTGAGGTAGATTTTTTATCGTCTTCATTAATACGTTTCGAGAAACTATGAGTAGTAGCATGTTTTATTGATAATCTTTATCATTCGATGAAATTTAACTAGAATTATATGAGAAAAAAACAAAGTCAATATTCTGAAAGAAAACCATGACTGTTAAAATCAATTATACATTCAAGCGTCGAATAAACTTAACCTTTCTGACTTTGGATGAGAGGTTATTTCTCTTATTATTTAATCAACTTTACGAAGATAAGAAAATCACATCACAGGAAAACGTTTTTTTGCAATTTTCTTTGTATTTAGACGACTGACTATCAGATTCATTGTTTAATCAGCTAATGTATTTTCATAACAGTGCATAAGAATAAGAAATAAATGATTCTAAGATTTTAATAAAATACAATAGACCAAAAATTGCCTCAAATTTTTCTATATATTTTTGGAAACATATTTTATAAGTGCACTTATCCTTGAAATGTCCTCAATGGCATTAATGCTTATAATTATGTTCTTTTTTATAGTCACGCCGCCGACAAAATTGTGGAGGCAGTGGCTAAGTGGTCATGTACTAATCATGCCAGCTGTCAAGCTCTATTACCAGGAGTTTTTTAAAAAAAGCATGTATATCGAACACTACAAAGTTGACAGAAGAGATTTCATCATTGATAGACTGATTGTTTATGAAATACCATAAGTTCTACGTATTAAAGTCATTTTCATCTCCATTTGCTAAATTTATAAATTAAACCTTAATCAATATTGATTAAAAATTATTTTCATAGGAAATTGAACTAACTCAAAAGTTAGTGAATTTGATTGTGATGAGCGTAAGATAATATCTAACTGCGGCTTTAAATTAAATTTGCATAAATACACAGTTCATTATTGTGATAAATCTTTTTGACTGTTTTCTCAATTTTTCGTATTATGCACAAATAAAAGTAAACGTTAAAAAGATGCTATTAGTGCTCATCTCTCATACATTACAAATTGATTATAAAATTCAATAAAACTTCTACGTAGCTCTCTATCTTTCTTTTTTTCATCCGATGAATTAAGTAAAGATTACTGATTATTTTATTTCTTAATGAATTCAAAAAAGGATGAATAAGTTTTAAATACTTCGTCTAAATATGAAGCTTTTGATTCATATTTAATAAGAAATTTTCATGTGATAAAAATCAATCATAAAGATACTAATAACGATAATGATTTAATCAATCATATAATGTCTATTGTTAATGAACATCTTGATGATGCAAAAAAAAATGTGAAAATGCATTTAATAAAAATTTGATTAAATCAGAATTTTATCAAATATATCAGTGATGCTGAAAAAAAATTTGAGAAAATATTATTTCCACATTCACTTAATTTTTCTAATAAAATGATATTAATACTCAACTATACTATCATAACTGAATTCATATTTCTCTAGCAAATAAATACATAGTTTAGTATCAAATTGAGAAATTTTTGTTTCATTGTGGATTTTTAATTTCTGATTTATGAGTACTTTTTGCTTCGATGTCAAAATTGTCTGATTTGAATCAACAGAATAAATCATTTTTATTGACGATTCATTTAACTAAATGTGCATTAGATTGAATATACTAGCTCAATTTGATACGTGTTGTGGTCGTATCTGAGTAAAGATACACTGAATAGCACACTACTAAGTTCTATATCACTCAAAAAAAGCTATAAATAAATTTTGATATATTTACTGAATATCTAATCATCTTTTATTTTAGATTTCGTTTTAAACATGCAACAAGTATCAACTAGAGATGATGAAACATTTGAACAATGTATTCCCATTGATACTATGCTTTTAGCTGAAGGTGTATGTGAAAAATATTCATTGCCTCTTTCAATAGGAAATTATTAAAAAATTCTCTCGAATATGAAAATTATTGTAAGGATTTTTCTTTACATGCTATTACACTTTTAAATGAACAATCACGAATATGATTAGTAAGTGAATACGAAATAGAATATATGATTATAATGATCAGAAAAAAATATCTACAATACCATTACAATTGTAACTAAGTACATGTGAAACGGTGATGTTTTTAGATTCAATATCACTTAATATAAAGTTAACAAATTCATTAAGAAAATATTGAAAATATTCATTTGCATTTTTATTTCAAGAAGAAAAAGATAAAACTTGAGTAAGATAGCTATTGAAATACTTAATGATTATTTTGATTCACATATATTAAATCATTTTGCATCTCATAAAACAAAAGAAGAATTAACATGGCAAAGCATTCTATCAGTAGCACAAGTAACTTATTGTAAATGACAGAGATAGAATCGGATCTAGTTTTCGTTTATCATTACTAATAACGTAGCTCATAAAAGTTGCTTTTTTTTAGCCTTTTAGAACAATTATAGCAAGGTTGAAGAATCTATTTGTAGGTTGAAATGATATACCTGACAAATATATATCAAAACAATTCCGGCAGTCTACATTATTGCTATAGAAAGTTTTTAAAAAAAAGAGATATGAAAAGTGTCTTGTTAATAGACGCGCAAGGGAGCAACCTTTTTTTGGGGTCATCGATGATAGAAAAAGTTGCAAACTTACTCAAAATTTGATCAGTACTAGAGCTTAAATGTATTTCTTATCATTGTTGATGAATTGGAAATAGTTTACTGGTAACATGTAATTCATTGAAATATTCAAATCTTTCTTATTGAGATGCTTGATTAGATATGAATAGCATTCGTTAGATTTGTTTCGATAGGCACCACAAACAGTACATGTTTGATCATATCTATTTGTTAGATATCTTGATTTATCTCTCATATCCTAATATGATCTCTGAATAATATTCATATAATTTTCAAAACTTATTTTCGTTCAGATTAGCAATTAGTTTGGTAATAAATATATATGATATGAGAAAAGTATAAACAAAGCTCAAGGACAAAGGAATAAGTATATGGTTAAAAAATACTTTACAAGTATCAGACCATAAACATGAAAATATGTCTCATGATCAAATTACAATTATGATAATATCTTCTTTTGTCTATCAATCTTTATTTTTCTAGATTAGTGAAATCTTTTCTAACTACGATCAAAATTGAAATATTCAATGTTTTTTTCTTGAATCTCTTTATATTGTTTTCTATTATTTGACATAGTTTATTTGTTTTAATAAATACATATATTTTTTTATTTATAAAAACTTTTAGATAACTACAGAAAATCATTTCTAACATCTACTTATAATGCTTCAACACTTTTTGACAGTGTTTTACATTCAGATATTATTAATAAAGAACAATAAATAATGTTTTATCGTGCAATGTCGATTGTAAATAATCGTTTAGATGATGCCCAACAACATAAAGATTCATTTGATCAGATAGTATAATATATTATTGATTGATATCCAAGTGAATCATTGAATGTTAATAATAACACAATTGATGTTGAACATCTCGAATATGAAATAAATTTGAGAAAAAAATCCATCATTTTTATTATAATAAATTAGTTAAATTAAATAAAAATTCAAATGATTTTTTTGTACACATATATTAGCATTACTTCAACCACAATAGCAAATAAAAACAATATTATTACAAGAAATTATACATTTGATTACAATAATACGGCAAAAAAAAAACTATCTTTAACACTAATTGAAGTTAAACTGAATATTTGTGAAGTTATTATGAATTTACGTATACGTTTTCTTTATGAAAGATATTTTGAAAAAGAAAACAAATGTTTTTTATGAAGATTTTTTTTATGAGTGAGTTTAGACGTAAACGACCCAATTTTGATAAAATAACACAAAAAAATATTTAAGGAATATTTCTGTGCCCATTTATAAAATTTTTATTCATCAAAACAAGTTAAAGAAGAATTAGTACGAAAATATGGTGTTGTCATTTCTCAAGTAAATGTTTGATATTCTTGTGTCTTTTTGTCTGTTTAAAAAAACTTTGTTTTAGATTAACAAATTGATTTGAAAATAAACGTGGACGTTATATAAAAAAAAAAAAAAAAAGTGCGCATCGAAATGAATAATGTAATTAAAGTAATACACATAATTGTATATAAATTAGTTTTAATAAATGTTCTCTTTTCATCTGTTGTTTGTGTTTGTATATTTCATCTTGTTATTTTTTCTTTTCAAATATTGCCGTCAAACCAAAATGATCTGATGGAAATATATGTAAGTGTCTATCATTGGCGATACTTTTATTACCTAAGATTTCAATTTGAGTAGGAATAATTGTTTGACTTTGTAAAATAATTCGATCATATCTTGATTGATCTGATATTTTATTATGAAATTTTGTCATTGGATTTTTTTCTGTATCAAATGTATAACCATGATTATCATAACCCATTAAATATGTCCAAACATCAATCCATTCGGGTAATGCTTTGAATTGATCGATATTTTCTTGACCATGTGCATTAAAATTAAAATCTCCCATTAAAATACAAGTACCTGGAAAATGATTAAATACTTTTCGACATATATCTAACTGACATAATCGTTGTTGTTTATTATCTAAAGATTCTAAATGAACAGTACCAATACGGAGTATTTCATTTTGATCTAATTTTATTTCAGCAAATAATAAACGACGACCCATTGTTGACTGAGGAAAATTCATAAGATTTAAATGAGAAATATTAAGACGAATATCAATTAATAAAACAACACCATACCAACCATTGAATGTACGACCATCAACATCGGATAAATAATATCGTTGTTGAACAAATTTTTGTGCTAAAAGGTGTTGAAGGATATTTGTTGTCACTGAACATATAGAAATTAAACGAATTTCTATTATTAATAATCTCGAAAAGAAAAGAAAAACGAACTTTCTTGTAAACCAATTATTTGTGCCTCAGATAGATTTAATATATCACAAAGACTGTTAAAACGCATCGGTTGATAATCATCCGAAAACCAAATATTATATGTAACAACACGAAATTTATTCCAATTATTCATTTGATTATTATTATCATATTGTTTTTGTGACCATTTTTGTTTTTCTTTATTATATTCCCATAGTGGAATCGAGAATTCTTGTTGATGCATATTACTATTTAAATGAGTAGATTGTTGACCCATTAACATTGAAACAATTATGATAGATTATTTATTTTTTTACTTAGCAATATTGAGATGTTTTTTTTTTTCGAGAATAAAAAATAAAAATACGACGCAAAATGCTTCTAATAAGTTGATATATTAAATGAATCATGACAGCTTTAGTCGTTCGTTAAGGAAGAAAGAGAAGAAAAAAAAACATGTCACAAATAGACATCTGTTATGTATCAGAAATTTCTTCATCGTAACAGAAGCAAAATATGTGTTTAATCAATTCACTTTTCTTAGAGAAAGCAATGTTTACTTTTTTTTTAAGTATTAATTTTCAAAAAAAAAAAAAAAACAAAAAAAAATGCTGTAATTTGATTCTGCTTTTTCAAATAAATAGAAAATATTGTATTTTTCAAACAATTAGTTAAATGATTTATATCTCTTAATATATAATATTAAAAAAATAACACAAATTATTTTAACTTATTAAAAATTCAACTATCATCTATTTTCTGTTAAATAAATACAAATATTTTTTTTAAAATAATGTCAATAGTGAATCTTTGTTTCGTGATTGCAACCTAGAAACAATAAATACTAAGAAAGAAGATAGAACAGATTGCAACAATTTTAAGTAGCACATTCTAATCCCAACAATGATGATTTGTCTATCCAGACAGTTTTATTATTAACGTTTGATCATTTTAAGAGAGTTTATCTTGATCTTTTTTTTCTTCTCTAAATCACCTATTTAACTTCATCTGCCATTGTATAGAATCTCTATTAGCATAAAATATATCTAGTTTTGCTTCTATTTATCGTACCTATGATAAATATGCGGAGAACACATATAAAATGACTTGTGTCTTACAAATATTTTTCAAATACTTATTTTTGTCAAAGAAAATATCGAAATGATATTTGACATAGATCGTAACGATGGAGAATAGATAGGAAATATTATTTCAAATCATATTAAATAAAGATTATTAATAGTCAACATGACGAATATAAGAATCTATTTGTTTTATCGAAAGAAAATATTTTAAAAAAACAAAACAAATCAGTACAACAAACTAATACGACAATTATAAGAAAAGGAAAAAAAAATGAAAATCGTTTGTACAGTTTTTTAATAAAACAATATCAAAACGAAAACACAAAACGGCAAAAAGCACCGAGAACAAAGATACGCGCTTAGTTATTGACAAAACAATGAAAACTAATATAGAATGTGTAGGAAATACATCGATAAACAAATGATTAGACGACACATATCTTTGAAAAAACGAGAATAAATCAAAAAAATTTCTTTTTTCACTGTTGACATACTGTTTGAGCAAAACAAGTAGAAACCTTTCAAAAGCGCCTAAAAAAAAACAAAAAATAAAGACAAAAATGGATTAAGAAAAAGTCTTATTGTTTACCGAAGGAGCTCTTCAGGTGGATGATGAAATGGAAAACGAAGTTGTTGTCTTTCATTATCTAAATTTAAACGACGATATACATTTTCATTATGTTCACGTTTAGTTCGTTCTCTTAAATTCATTCGAGAAAAATCATCATAACGTGACATCTTAAATAATACAAAAAAGAGAAGAAAAAAAATAAAGTAAAATTTTTTTATGCAAAAAAAACTAAAATATACTTGAAGTGAATTTACAAGTCCTAATGTCATTGGATCAAATCGACTATTATTAGCTAAGATCAATGCCATTAATTCGCGTTCACGTGTTAAATTATGTATTGCTTCAAAATTTATTGGTACTGATAGCGAACCACCGGTATCTAATAATGGATTACCATGAGATAGACCTAATATTAAATTTATAGAACTATAAATTCAAAAAATTGATAAGAAATTTAACCTGAAAAAGGATTAGCAAATGGTAAAAGAGTTGATGGTGGTAATGGTGCACCATTTGTAGTATTTGACGATGATTCATTTGAATTAGCTAAATGCAAATGTGTACGTGAATGTGAATGAATATGAGCATGATTAGGTGCTCCATTATTAATTTTTGATGATGATAATGAATTATTTAACGAAGATAGTGACGGTGGTGGTGGTGGTGGTAGTACTATTGATGACGGTGATGTATTAGCAAATGGTGAAATCATACCACGACAATGAGGATCAAATAAAAACGCAGCTGTTGCTGGATCAAGTCCAGCATGAGTTGGACGTCCAATACCATTAGGAAAAGGTGGTTGACCAGCAAAATATTGAGCAGCAGCTGCAGCAGGATTCATCAAACGTAAACTTAATGGATCAATATGACGTAATGTAGCATTTTCATGGGGTGATGGACCAAATGGTGAAGGAAAACCTAATGAAGGCTTAGATCCACTGGCAAGACCGTGTAATGGTAATGGATGAAACAATGGATTATTACGATTTATTAATAATGAATCATGATGTGGAAGTGTTGTTGGTAGTGGGTGTGGTGGTGGACCAGATTGATGATGCATTGATCGTCCTTTATCCAAAGAAAATGATAATTTCTAAAAGAATAAATAAAACAATGTGAAAACGGATTCAACTTTTTTTTCTTGTGGTTTTCGACGTACAGATAAATTTCGATCTTCTTGTTTAACATTGATGATTGTTGTAGTTGATGATGGTAAATCTTGTTGTTTTTCAGTTTGTTTTTGGCGTATAGGCAAACGACGTTTAAGAATAATATCAGTACGTGCACAAGAATTTTGAGATTTTGATCGATCATAGACTTGTAATAAAATAATTTCTTGAGATCTATTATAACATTCTATAGAAAAGAAAAACAAAAGGTAAATCTTAGTTCATTTGATTTTTCTTACAATAGAATAAATATTCTGCGAACCTACCTTTTTCACATATTAATGGTGATGGTCCTTGATCACAAATAAATTCTTGAATACAATTTGTTGAATTATCTGATATATTTTCATCATCATTTGATAAATCATTATCTTTTGATATAACTGTTGATACATTATTATTATTAAGAATTGTTGAATGATTTGTATTTGATTTTAATGATGAATTAGATTCATCGGAAATTTTTGGTATTAATGATTGTTTTGATGTACGTGAAAATGCTGAAGAAGGTGAAGTTATTAATGCATTAGTATTATTTTGTTTCGTATGATCAATGAGAATTTTTGTCGTATTATCTGAAAGCATTGATGATGGAGAATTAAATTCTTGTTTACATGGTGTTGGTGTAAGAATTCGTAAATTTAAATCTTCTGTTTTAATAACAAGAGAAGAATTTGTTGAAAATGATGATGGTTTTTCATTTTCTTGTTCTTCTAATTTAATTTCTTTTTTTATTGTTGATTCTTGTTCTTCTTCAATTTTTTGTTTAATCAATGAAACTTTTTCATTAAGACAAGTTTTCTTTTTTGAACGTGTTGATAATGAATTATTATCATTTGGTGATTGTATTGGTTTACTTCGTTTTCGTTTATTACTATTAGTACATGTTGAACTTGTTCTATTTAATGGCTTAAATAAATAAGGTGAACATTCAAGATTTATTATTGGCATTTGACCAGATTTTTCATAATAGATTCGACAAGAATAACATAATAATTGATTATCATGTCCAGCTATTTGTAAATTTTTTGATGCTATCTGACAATGACGACAATATTGTTCATCAAAATCTGTTGTAATTTGATTATCGTCATTATCAGAATTATGTTCTGATTCATCTTTATTATTATTATTATTATTATTATTATTTTTTGTATTACGTTGTTTAGCTGGTGTTGGTGTAGTTGATAGAATAGCAGATGTTGAACATGGACGTTGTCGTCGACGTGAACGAGTTGTTTGTGCTTGAGGAGTTTTTTTCCATAAATAATAAAATTCGACAAGATCTGATGTTTGTTTATGAGGTAAAAGATCTTTACGTATACGAAAAAAATTTTTTCCATATTGTCTTAAACCTTTAATAAATTTTTTTTGATCATCATCCGACCATTTTCTATCAATACCTTTTGGTATTGGACATTTAACAAGTGCTTGTATAGCACGTTTACAATCATAATCATGATTATGTAAAATTGTTAATGCATTTATTGTTGTATCGTCTCGTTCAGCTACTTCATACATATCTTCAGCTAAGCCACGATCACACATACCAGCAAATGCTGCTATGGATCGTGCTGCTTGTAAATACATTGATAAATCAATATCGGTTGTTTTATTTTTCCATAATGGTTCTTCACGTAATAGACTTAGTTCATCATTCTTGCTTGATAATGATGATGAATAAACTTTTAAAAGTGGTAATTTGGCTTGATGCGATGGACCAACGCGTATTTCACCTTGCGTGTTCGCCAGTCTGCGTGCTTCCGGATTTTATGTTAAAATATAAAAGAGTGTATCCGGATTGGATAGAAATGCACTAGCTTATTCAATATCTTGATAGTGAGAAACGCAACACCGATCTCTAAATTACAGAAGAAAAAAAAAAAATGTTTACGTAGACAAAATCAATCTTTTTATATTTGTGTACGCAAGATGTACACACTTTTTTTTTGTCCTCTTTCTTTTGTCAAGCGATTACAATCATTCGTCGTTCCTTTTCTTCTCTTTTCTTTTTTTTTGTTTTATTCTATTCTGTGTTCAAGTAACTAAAGTTCTAAATATTGTTCTTACTTGATGTGTACGGTCGGATAGAATTCTTTGATTTCCGTTATGAATAGTTGACAACCAATAATATTGAGATCTTATATTATATCAGATTTTTCGCTTGTTTATCTTCAGTCGATAATGTTTGATCGTTACCCTCTTCAACAGATAAATAACACATATTATATAGTTTTCTTTTCTTTTTTGATAAAAATAAACCAAAAGCATCGACTAATTTAGTTTTCTTCTAGATGAATGAACGGAAATCATGTTGTCGACAACAACTACTCTTCTTGTTTATTCTCGTTCTTTTCCCTATAATATCTTGCGCGCATACATACATAGAGAATCAAAAAGGCAATGTGATAGAGTAGGATGAAGTAAAGAATGAGAAAAGACTCGATAAAGAAAGAAACAGCGAAAAAAAAAACGAGAAGAAAAAGAAAGAAGAAGACGAAAGAGAGAAAGAGAGCTTGTCTTGGTCCTTGAAACTAATCAATCAATCTTCTGTTAACCAATGCATAGTACGACACGACAACTTATGAGGTGTGGATTATTGACATATGAAAGTTTTTCTGATCGATCATCAAATAAAAAGAAAAATCGAAGAATATAATATATTAAAAAAAAAATTCAATGAACATGATGAAAGAAATCAGAGAGAATATGTAAGAGTGCATGTTGACATACACATGTGACCGATCTTTTGAGAGTACTGTGTAATTTCTTTTCTTTATTCCACTCATAATTCGTCGATGAATTAAAAGCGACATACATCATACATACATATTCAAACACACTAATGAATACTAGCGGGACGCGTCAATTGTCGTTCTGCTGTCTGTGTCATTAACCAGAAATTATTACACACATACCGAGAAGAACGATCAACTTGCCGAGTGTGATAAGATGCATAGATGTTTAGAGGCAAAAAAAAGAAGGCAAAAAGATATTGATCTATATTATACTAACAAATAATATTTACATTAATAAGACAACAAATGAAATCGATTATTGTTACTTATATATGAATTAATAATTCTTCATCGATTTTTTTCTTAATAAATTACTTTTGTTTGATGTAATAACATGTATACGTGTGTACGTGTAAGATTTAAAAGAAAAAAGAACAGAATAACTCAAACCCTAATGGACATATAGAAATGATGAAGACAAAAAAATAGTATTGATTGAGAGAACTTATTTTTTCTAGTGTCACCTTAGTAAGGCACAAAACGATTTTACATAATGGCTTGTTCGTGTCTATTTAAGTATGAATTGTTGTTCTCGTTTTCTTTTTGTCACACGATAGAGTCTCACGAAGACAAGAATTTGATACTCATTGGAAAGGAAGGAAAAGAAAACAGTAGATAATACGTACACCAATAATTCATCGCTCGTCATCGGGTTGGTTAAGATATCGATATATTATATACATTATATTATTTATTACTGTGACATGAGCTGCTACAATAGCCTATTACATAGAATACTATATCTCTTGTTTAATGACAAAACAGGCTGTAAATAAGTATACATATTTGACTCGAATGTTTCTCATTTGGTACATCGATAGAACAAAATGATCATTGTAAAGAGAAAAAAGAAAATCAAAAGATAGATATGAATAGATGATGAGAACACATATATATACACATACAGAATGAGAAAAAAAAAAGAGTCAGTTGATCCGATTAATCAATCATTTATAGTATTGGATGTGTTTCTGTTTGTTCGGGTTGTTAAACCCATGCACAGGCACACACATAATCATACTGTATGGTGACATCAACTATAAGTACCTGAAAAAGGACCCTTTCTATTTCTGTTTCTTTTTTTTTTTTTTTCTATGTTTCTAATTGATGTAGTGTTGACGCATTTGCTGTAATTGATGTTGTTATTGGCAAATAATCAACGATAAGAAGGAGAAAGAAAAAACTAAAGCGAACAAAGTAGAGCATATTTGTTTCTTTTCTTTTAGCTAGAATTCAACTAAGATAAAGAGAGAATAATAATAATCACTCAGATTTGGCATCAAACGCATACAACTATAAATCAAACAAGATGACGATAAAGAAGAAACACAAACTGATGATGAAGATGACAAGGCAAAGCCATAGCACGAGTTACACATACACAAATAAAACACAAAAAAAGTTGATATTTTGTTTATGCTTCGCTTTGCTTACACGCGCGCCTTTTATTTGAAAGGATTTCTATTATTGTTAGAGTGAAGAGCAAAAAAGGAGAATGACTTGCCGCCATCACTCGTCTATCGATCAACGATTACACTAGACTCATCATCATCATCATCATCATCATCATCTGCATTTCGTCAAGTTCTCTGTCATTCGTCGCTCATTTTCACGCACTATCTTTCTCTCTCCCCTTTCTTCGGACCCTCATCGTTCTTTGTCGATGAATTATATACACTCTAACAATAATTTAACAGTGGTTATTGCTTGGCCTCAATGCAAACGCGAACACATATGAAGTGCAAGAAAAAAGTGAAGGAGAGAGTATGTAGACGAATAAGACGAAGAACGAAGGGTGGATAAAGAAAAAAGAAGAAAGAAATTCTCTACACTACCATCACCAATGAGTACTAGATGTCAATATGTAGACAGAGACAGAGAGCGAGAGAAGAAAGGAAATCTCTCCACACATGCCGATCAATACCACTCAGGAATAGTAGTACTCTCGTTTTTCTTATTCTTTACATATTATTTCATGAAATTAAATTTCCATGATATTTAATTATTTATTAATCTACAAGAATTAATTGTACTATTACTAATAATAATAACTACACTAGATTTCGTTACTCACTTGTAATATTGTGTCGTATATAAATATGTATGTATATGCAAACGAGTGAAGCAAAAAAAATCAATCACATATAAAAGAATAAGAAAGAAAAGAGAAAACGACACACGACACTATACACACAACATCGTTGTCGTCTACAATGATGTGATATTGTTCTTCTATTTGTTCCCTCCGGCAGCTGGAGAGAGCAAACAGGAGCCCCTATTGAGAAAGACGAGAGAATAAAAGCTACGACGACGACAAACTACTCGACGCAAGCGTGTGCATGTGTGTTATGGTGCATACATACTGACGACAAGAGCAACAAACAATCAACATACATCCTTACTCGCTCTTATATATATATAAATAGATGATGGTATTAAGTTTTTAATCGAATAATAAGAACAGAAAAGAATATTATTATTATTGTTTTTTTTTGTTTTTTCTATTCCTACTCAAATAATATCTTAATGAATCAGATTGACATATTAATGTTCTTAAGATAAACTGTCAATAAGCAAAGAGAGAAAAAAATGAGAGAACAACGAAAAAACAAAGAACTACAATAACATGATAAAAAGATGCAGACAAAGAAAATATAACAGCATAGAAATAAAATAGAATAACTTACTTAACTAAATATGACAGTTAGTTAGTCGCAATACTAATAATTGTTGTAACAGCACATCATATAAATATATACATTGTTCTTCTGACGAAGAAATGAACAATATGTTTATGAAGAGACACATTTGTTTCTTCTTCTCGTCTCTATCTAATATATACATACATACACTTAGACAACTACGTTCTTTCTCTCGTTTTTTTTTTCTCTGCACTTGGTGATGATATGTATGCATATATCTTAATGAGATGACCATCAATATAGAAATAATGCTCTCTTGCTTTTTTTTTTCTTTAAAAAACATGAACGAATGAATGAATATGCGTGAAAAAGAAAAGTTTATTGGTAACATTATCTACTCATAGGAATAACTGAACGTAGACGTAAATATACATATATGTAGACACGGATTGACTACTAATTGGCTGAATTGCTCTTTGATTATTAGCCTGGATTTAACTCTCAGTTGCTTGTGCGACAGATATGACACCCGATGATGATGATTATCAATTGTGCGCTTGTGCGCGTTCGTGTCGATTTGTTCTTTTTGTTGATGTAATGTTCTTTTTCGCTCCTCGTCTAAGAGAGCAACGAGCCGATGAGAAAAGAGAAAGAAAATGACATTTTATCATGCATATATACAATCATTTCTATAAACATTGACTGACACTACTATCACTATTAGCGTAATGGTACATTGTAGATATATGGAGCAAAATTGAAACCGAAAAAATAAGTTAAAGATTTATATTCAATGATCAGTCATAGAAAATAAAGTTCAAAATTGACGATGATTTTTTTCTTTCTTTTACTTTTTGTATTCAACTTAAGTTTTTAATGATAACAATATTCGATACGAAGATGATAAAGATTGGACGGTATTTCATTAGATTGATAATGCCAACATACATCAAGCATAAAATGATCTTTTCATTTCTAGACGTTGAAAAATAAATATTATCCATGTATACATATATATAATTCATGATTATTTAACTTGACAAACGACAATTAAGAATGCAAACAATTGAATATTATGGAATTTGTTTACTTGTTTTCAAATAAACATTATCAAGATAATTAAAGATAAATTTTTAATACATGACTTTTT